TATCTTTTTTTTTTATTTTTTATTTAAATTATATATATAATAATTTATATTTCCTTAATATAATAATAGCTTGTGCTTTTCCTATGATTTAAAATTTTTATTTTGCTACTCTAGATAAAGCATTTTAACTATTACTAATTATCAATTCTTATTTTAATTCAATTAATTTTTATTCTTTTCTATATATTTTCGTATAAAGAGAAGTTTAATTTATATGTCATTTCTAAGTTATTTAGATAATTTATTTTATCCTTATTTTAATTCAATAATGAAAACAAAATACATATTATGCTACTGAATTCGAAGTATTATTAGATTATGCTCAATAAAAAAATAAAGCTAATAGCTTATATTTATAGAAACAATAGAACAAAGTTTACAAGTTGAATTGAAAAGATAATAATAAACTTAAATAAATTTTATTTATTAATTGTAATTAACAATTCAATTCACGACGAAGAAGTAATTGCAACTTAATTTTTTATTTAATTTAAACAGGTATCTTATTTAATTTAGAAAATTTAAATTAAAACTTTATTAATTACATATTGTTATTTATTTAAAAATAACAAAAATTATTCTGAGAATGAAAAAAGTCTAGCATCATAAAATAATGTCTTTTTGAGGGAAATATTTTGAATTTCTTAAACAAGAAAAGTATTGATGAAATCTTTTTATTGAAAATTTTGATTATTTTAATCTTACTAATGAGCATTAGTAATAAATTAAAAATCAATTTAAAAATTATTGAGTTATCATTTTCAACTACAAATTGTGCTATATTTTTTTTTGTTAGAGATATGCTGAAATTTTGAGAACCCATTTTATGTTTAAATAAATGATTTAAGGAAAAATTAGTTTTTTTAGATATTTATTTTTCTCTATATATATTAATTCATGTAGAAACTCAAAATTAAATATTCATTCTAAAATTTTAAACTTTATTATTGAGGTTGTTAAATTAAAATGATATATTTAGAAAGTAGGAAAAAAATATAAAATTAGAAACAGACAGAAGACAACTTTAAATAAACAAATAGATAAAAATTATAAATTTGTAAAAAATAAAAGTAGCAAAGTTTAACTAAGTAATTTAGTTGTAGATTGTAATCAGACCAGAATATGTTGAATTTAGAAATATAATAAAGCCTTAAATTAGTATTTTATTATCTTAAAATAAGCTTTAAATTCAGAAATAGCTTAGAGTTTAATTCATTTTCTCCAATACAAATTAGTTTTTAAGGATTAATTTAATTTTCCTTATGATTATTTTGATAGAATTTGAATAAATTATGATTCCTTTTAAATAAAAATTTTTAATGAAATATGATTGTGATATAAATATCATTCAATTTTTTCAATCGTTGGTAAATTTTAAGGGTATCCCAAAATTTTTCTTAATTGAATAATAGATTTACCTACATCACCTAAATAGAGGGCCTTCTTAAATTTATTATCCTAGTAAGGATAAGTCTTGGTTTCTTCCACATAAATATCTGTTAATAGTTATTCTTCTTTCCAAACATTTACATTTTTATCATATAAATTTTTAGCAATATCATTTTCTGTCCATCCAAAGCCAAATTTAAATCCTTATGAATACATGAATTCGATGGAGTCAAGGAATATTTTCAAAGAATGCTTTGCCCCCATATATTTAGATGAAAATCCAAAAGTTCCAATAACAAAACATTCTCCCAAGTTTGGGTTATATCTATCAAAATAGTCCTTTAAAGCCTTGTAACGAACATACTATCTGACTAGACTCAGTTTGGGAATAATATTGAAATCTTTTATAGATAATTATTATTCTGTTAATCTAACATCATTAATGTCAGTGTAAGAAACTACAGCTATTATATCCTAGGTATTTTTTTCATATGATTCTTTCTCATAATAGACTAATACCCATTTATATGTACGATTTATTAGGAAAGACCTAAATTCCTCATACAATTGATCATATTCTAAATTTAATTCTTTGTAGAATCCATTTTTTATCTATATAATTTATTATAATCTACCCCAAAAGCTTCTGTTAAAATCTTTGCGATAAGCTCAGTATTTTCTCCTGAATAAACTGTTCTTACAAATTAAATTTCATTAAGTTAGGGTTTTGGTTCATTTTAATCGATATTCATATTTGATATATTTATTATTCAAAAATAAAATTTAGTTTTAACTTATAAACACCAAAATATCTAGTTTAAAAGTTTATAAAAATCATATATCTAATATAAAGTCCTATTCTTTTTAAGAATTCATTTATATAAACTTCTTTCTTTGATGAGGCAATAAATTTTAACAGATTTAATTTATTTTATTTATTTATAAAGTAGTTTTATTATTAATAAATCATTATAATATTTATGGAATAAAAAGAAATACAAGAAAAAATTTATCTTGTAATTTTTACTTTGTTCATATTTTCTGTTTATTTTTGACTTTTTAATCAAATAATTAAACCAAAAACAACTAATATTCTGTGATTTTAATTGATTTCAATAAGAAAATATTCTTAATTCTTAATCGATTTTTTTAAAATTTCTACTAAAAAATAATTGTATTTCTAAAAAAGATTCTTAATTTAACATTTATAAATTATAATTAATATTAATAATGAAAATCAAGGACATAAGTTTATGAGAGGAATTTTAATAGAAAAAAAAATAATTGATATTATTAAATATCAAATTTGTATAAGCAATATAATACTTGAATTTATTTTCAAGACTGAAGATAATCAGAAACAAAATGAAAATAGAATTAATATAAAAATAATTAATAATCAATTAGAATATTTAATTAATTGATATACCTTAAAATCGAGATTGTTAAGATTTAATAACAGGAATTTATGATTATTCATCATTGAAACCAATTTTGGATTCGTAAAGATGGAAAATTTAAATAAAGTCAAGCTTTTTGAAGGTTGTTTAAAATCTTGAATAACATTTTTTATGAGTACTTTAAAATTGATTAAAATGAAATTATAATATAATATTCAATTTAGTTATAATTTATTAAAAATATTAGTAATGAATCAATTTAAAAAGGTCACAATAAACTTTAGAAGATAATTTTTTTGAATTCAAATAAAAAAATACTATTTCAACTTATTATTGTGGAAATATAATTCAGTAAATTTGAATAAGATTTAGAATTAAATCATAATGTATAATTTACTCAAAATTTAGTAAAATTGAACAATAAGATTAAAATTTAATAAACCAAGTTTAAAACTTTTAATGAGACGTATACTTTAAATTTAAATTTTAGAAATATAATATTAATACTTTTATACTCAATATCATTAAGAAAAGACTGTTTCACAAAAAATTTAAGTTTAAAATCAACAATAACAGTCCAAAATAGAAAGCATAAGAAAGAATAGATAAAATTAATCTTATAAAAGGAGAGTTGCTCTTAGTAAAATAGAATAAATAAATTAATAATTATCTTAAAATTTCATAAATGTAATTTAATTGATAGATGAATTAAGAATTTGTACATAGAACTTTTTTATAATTATAAACTGTCATACAATTATTAAAATGTCATCAAATTGTATAATAAAAAGAAGAAATAGTAAGAAAGGTAGTGTAGTTGATTAATAAATATTAAAATATATACATTAGTATTTATATAAATTATATTTGATAATTTTGATTATACCCCAGTGTAGTTATAATTTAAATTAATATGTAAACAGAGAAAGGAATTGCAAAAACAACAAAAGTAGATTATCATGCATAAAGTAGAACATTATCATTAGAATAATTACAAGAGGAAATTGTTAAATTAATAGGAGAATTCATGAATTAAAAAGTTTGCAATCAAAAGAGATGATAAATAAAAAGTAATATGAAGATCAGTTAGATGGTATTGACAATCTAATTTTAATCTTTTGGTTAAAAATAAATGATCAAAATTTTATGTATGAGATGACAAAAATTATAAAAATTGAAAATTATTGTATATAATTTACTCTTAATCATTGATAAGTTATGANTTTAATAACAGGAATTTATGATTATTCATCATTGAAACCAATTTTGGATTCGTAAAGATGGAAAATTTAAATAAAGTCAAGCTTTTTGAAGGTTGTTTAAAATCTTGAATAACATTTTTTATGAGTACTTTAAAATTGATTAAAATGAAATTATAATATAATATTCAATTTAGTTATAATTTATTAAAAATATTAGTAATGAATCAATTTAAAAAGGTCACAATAAACTTTAGAAGATAATTTTTTTGAATTCAAATAAAAAAATACTATTTCAACTTATTATTGTGGAAATATAATTCAGTAAATTTGAATAAGATTTAGAATTAAATCATAATGTATAATTTACTCAAAATTTAGTAAAATTGAACAATAAGATTAAAATTTAATAAACCAAGTTTAAAACTTTTAATGAGACGTATACTTTAAATTTAAATTTTAGAAATATAATATTAATACTTTTATACTCAATATCATTAAGAAAAGACTGTTTCACAAAAAATTTAAGTTTAAAATCAACAATAACAGTCCAAAATAGAAAGCATAAGAAAGAATAGATAAAATTAATCTTATAAAAGGAGAGTTGCTCTTAGTAAAATAGAATAAATAAATTAATAATTATCTTAAAATTTCATAAATGTAATTTAATTGATAGATGAATTAAGAATTTGTACATAGAACTTTTTTATAATTATAAACTGTCATACAATTATTAAAATGTCATCAAATTGTATAATAAAAAGAAGAAATAGTAAGAAAGGTAGTGTAGTTGATTAATAAATATTAAAATATATACATTAGTATTTATATAAATTATATTTGATAATTTTGATTATACCCCAGTGTAGTTATAATTTAAATTAATATGTAAACAGAGAAAGGAATTGCAAAAACAACAAAAGTAGATTATCATGCATAAAGTAGAACATTATCATTAGAATAATTACAAGAGGAAATTGTTAAATTAATAGGAGAATTCATGAATTAAAAAGTTTGCAATCAAAAGAGATGATAAATAAAAAGTAATATGAAGATCAGTTAGATGGTATTGACAATCTAATTTTAATCTTTTGGTTAAAAATAAATGATCAAAATTTTATGTATGAGATGACAAAAATTATAAAAATTGAAAATTATTGTATATAATTTACTCTTAATCATTGATAAGTTATGATACATAAAATAATATATGGATTGTGTAATCTATTAGATAATTATATACCTAATACAAAGAGGAGAATGTACTAAATGATTTATATATGAGGTGGAAATAAGACAACATTGCCTTATTTTGTAGCAAATATTGTAAAAATATTAGACATTGAAGCAATCGAAAAAGATTAATAAGACTAATCTGTAACAGACTATAATGCTACAATTTCTGGTAAAGGTGTAGTAATTAAGACTACAACAAGACAAACAATCTTTTTGCCAGTCACACGTTTATTGAATGCCTCTTAATTAAAATCTGCTGAATTGATTGGTATAAATAAAGATGGCTATATGTTATATGAGAAATTACCAACTGAATATGATGCACGAGGTATTTCAAATATATTTAATTAATAGTAAAAACTATGGAAGTAGATGAAAACCTATAAGAAGATTATACTGATATAGGTGGATTAGATAAATAGATTGAAGAATTAAGAGAAGCTATTGTTTTACCTATTGTTCATAAAGAGAGATTTGAAAATATTGGTATTAGGTAATATTATTAAATTAAATAGACCACCAAAAGGTGTACTTATGCATGGACCACCTGGAACTGGTAAAACTATGATGGCTGGAGCTTGCATTGCTTAAACTAAAGCTACATTCTTAAAATTAGCTGGTCCTTAATTAGTTTAAATGTTTATTGGTGATGGAGCTAAAATGGTTAGAGATGCATTTTAATTGGCTTAAGTATTTATTGATGAATTAGATGCTATTGGAACTAAAAGATATGATAGTGATAAAAATGGTGATAGAGAAGTTTAAAGAACTATGCTTGAATTATTAAATTAACTTGATGGATTTAGTCCTGATGATAGAATTAAAGTACTATATATGTATATTAATCATTTCAGGTTATTGCAGCAACCAATAGACCTGATATTTTAGATCCTGCTTTATTAAGATCTGGAAGGTTGTATAGAAAATTGAATTCCCATTACCAAATTAAGAAGCCAGAGCATAAATCTTAAAAATTCATTCCAGGAAAATGTCTGTTGCTAAAGAAACCGTTAATTATGTCGAAATTGCTAGAAGTACTGATGAATTTAATGGAGCATAAATAAAAGCTGTCTGGTATTTATTTTATTATAATATAGCGCTGAAGCTGGTATGATTGCCTTAATAGAGGAGGAACATTCTTAATACATGAAGATTTTGTTGAAGGTATTGCTGTTGTACAGGCGAAAAAGTAAAGTAGCTTAAATTATTATGTTTGAATGAAATATTTAATATATATATTATTTTATGCAATAAGTACAGAAGAATAGAATCAATAAAGAAATTTAAGATTTCGAATAGAGATAAAAAAAAGTATATATATTTTGATTATGAATAGAATGAAGATAATGGTATAACTATTTTAATAGTTGATAATAACATTACTCATTGGAAAGGATTTATTAATGGATCACCAGATACTCCTTATTAAGGTGGATATTTTTAGATTGATATTGTTCTTACTGCTGATTATCCTTACAAACCACCAAAAATGAAATTCGATACAAGAATTTGGCATCCTAATATATCATCGTATTTTAATAATCTAATAAGATAAACTGGTGCTATATGTCTTGATATATTAAAGGATGAATGGTCACCTGCGTTATCAATTCGAACAGCCTTATTGTCATTATAGGCCTTATTATGTGATCCTTAGCCAGGTAATTGAGTAAGCATGATATATATAGATTCACCATAAGATGCTGTTGTAGCTAATCAATATAAAACAAATAAGGAATTATTTATAAAAACAGCAAAGTATTTATTAATTGAATTAAGTAAGAGAATGGACATTAAATTATGCATCAAAAAATAAATAAAATGAGAAAATTGCTAATCTAGTTGCATTAGGTTTAGATGAATAAAAAGTTAAAGTAATTATTAGTTAAAATAATTATATAGGATGCATTACTTAGATTTGGATATGATGAAGAATAAGCTGCAAATTTCTTATTAGGAGGATGAATTATTAGTATTATTAATATTTATTATATATATATATAAATAAATAGAAATGGAATAAAATACAAATAATATATATTAAAAAAAGAGATTCTTTAGTTAAGAATATTAGAAATTTGAAATTGGAAATGATTAAATAAATAAACAGATAGGAGAGTTGATTATAATTAAATTGATAAAAATGTTTCTAATTGATAAAATGAATAATCAATATGAAGCAAGTCTTTAATTTCTTTCGTGATTTTCATCTTCAACTTAATCGAATCTTTCAGCAACCATTTCTTCTAATTAAGCAACTAATTAGAGTTCGTTTCTTCTAGCTTAGGTAGCATAATTGTATTCATTGGCAAAGGTTGAACATAAAGTTTAAGCTTAATCCCAAAGTTATTAGTTTCTTTAGAGTTTACCTGATGCAGTTTAAGCAATAGCAGATTAAGTTCCAATGCATTAAACTAAGTTGGTTAACTTATTTTATAATCTTTCATTTTATGCTTCAAGTCTAGCAATAGTTTATCCAATTCTTTCTTTTTAATCATTGAAAGCAGCAACAGATGCAGCATTTGAGGTAGTATAATCATTATAAGCTTCTTAGATATTTGATCTCAAAGTATCTAAAAGTTAAGCAACTCTTTCAAGTGCTGATTCATCTAATTATCCTTCTTAGGCAGCTAATTAAGCAAAGGCATAGAAGATTGGTGCAAATTTAGCAGTTTCCTTGATGTTGAATGCAGTTTAGAGCATACTCTTTGAAACTCTACTGATTTCAGCAAATGATCCTGATCCACTATAGATTGTAGCTAAGATATCTTAAGCTTCATCAATAGCATGAAGAGCATCTTCATAATCTCTTCCTCTTCTCTTGAAATATCCAGCTTCAGTTTCAGCAGCAGTTAATACTGATGTTAAATGTTCTTATGCTGAGAAGTATTATTATTAATTAACTTCTTATACATTTGTTGTTCTGATCTTTGATGTATTACAAACATTCAAGGCAGCTGTGGAATCTCTTAATACTGTTTAAGCATCTTAAACTTATCTAGATCTGAATTCATTTTCAGAAGCACATTCAGCTTATTATGTATTATAAATTTCATCATGGTTTACTTATTCTGTGTTAACTGCATCTCTGAAATCTCTTAATACATTTAATATGGCATCAAGTGGGGATTTATTATTTAATTTTGCTTCAACTTCAGCCATTACTGCTGTCAAAGATCTCTTCTTTGAATAATCAAATGGGTTTCTTGGAGCTGCACTTACACAAACTAAAACAACTAATAATGTTGCAATCAATTTCATTTTTATTAATCATTTATTTCCCATCTTATCCTCTTTATCAAGTCTATAAATTAAAAACGGATTTTTTTATTCTAAATACTCATTAACTATATATTTTTATAAACTCAATATTCTTAATTTCTCATATAAATTTAGTCAATTCTCAATATTCTTTATTCAATTATACTACAAATAACTTTTATCTTTATATTAACCAATATCTATTATTGCTTATTCATATTTTGTGTATAAGTAAACTAATTTTTATATTTATCAAAATTGTATTCTAATAAAAAAGAGAAGGGAATTATAATATTAACTTTAAATCTATAGTAAATAATTATTATTCATTTCCTACTCTTTTATTGGAATGGAATCAACATTACAATAATGCAAGAATATTATTATAAAGATATTAATAGCAATTTAATATATTTAAGAAAACGAACTATGCCTAGAAAATAAATCATTTAATTAGCTATATCATATAATATCTTATTGACTTTTAATTATATATAGGAGTATTTAAGTCAAAATGATTTTTGCTGTAAATTCTCCAATCTATATAGTTGAAAGAATTTATCAATCATTTAGTTTCTTTAAGTATTCATCTCTGAGTTCTTTAAGATCATATTTAAAAATTTACTTTAAGAAGTAATTTAGTATCAGTATTCATTATTTTTGAATTCACATAATAGTTTATAGGGTATTTTGATTCACTCATATGTTAATCTATAATCCTCTTTCTATTATCCTTATTAGACATAGATCTGGTCATAAGTCTGATAAAAGCTTAACTAAGTTTATCTAATTAATCGAACTAATTTATTTGTAACATAAGATAGCTTATTTATTTACCATTAAGTAAATATCTATTGAAACAATTTATCATTTTATCGATTGGTTTTTGAAGCATTAAAAAACAACCGAAATAAATAAAAAAACATGATATTATGATGGTAAATAAACCAAATAAAAAATGAGTAATGATTTCAGTATAAATTGTAGAAAGTGTTGAACTAAATGTTTAAAAATAATTAGAGTAAGCTTACTAATTAAACATCGATAAAGTATAATAGTCACCTGTCATTCTCATTGCTCTAAAATACCACAAAATACCTGTGTTTTTATTTTCAATACATATTGTCTGAGGAATTTAAATCTCACACTTCTGATTTGTTTATTAGATATATTGATTTAAGATTAAATTAACATCTGATTAATCAAAACCAAAAATACTTTTATTAGATAAATAATAAACTTCAGATGTATTAATTGTATAAAACTTACTTAACAGAATTCTTCCTTTTTTATCAATTGCTAACATTTATTAATCATCCTGCATTAATTAGTGAATATCTGAGAAATTTAAATCAATACCAATAATTCCTATCTTTTCCTTATTTTTACCATCATATAAATTAGTAGTTCCAGATATGTAAACACCTCCAAAATAATTTGCATAAGGCTCTGATATTATGTATTCTGATTCATTTCTTTTTGCAATATGATTTTGAAACCATGGTCTCTGTGATGGCTTATAATTTCCAAAAGCTTAACCAGGATAAGTTGAAAAATAACATTCTTTTGTAATTGATGTAAAATACATGTCTAATCCTATTTGAATTGGTATTAATGAAGTAAGTAAATTAGAAAGTTAAAGCAATTCTTTTCTATATTATTCTGGATTTTTAATTTCATTCGAACAATCAAAAATACCATAACAATATTAGCATTTCAATACAAAACTTCCATTTTAATACCAATCCTAAAGACATCGCTCAGAATTTTATACAAAACTCATGTTTGTTAAGTAAATTTATTAATTCAATAGGTTTATATGACTTATAGCTGAAATTCCTTATCGAATTCTGTATTCGAGATTTCTTGTATAAGCATTTAATTGTGAATTTGTTTAACGATAGATGAAATTCATCATAAATTTCTTCTCTGCTTCATTTTATAAGGCTGAAAACATTCCTTCAAAATAAAGGAATAAGCACATTCCCAAAATAGTAACAGATACAATCATAGTTATTAATTGAGTTACTAATATTTATGTTCGTATTCTCCAAGTCTTAAACTTCTTAATTAAACAATTCTTTCCAATCATAATAACAAATTTATTAAAGAAAATTATTCAAAAGATGAGTTAGATTAGCCTAAAAATTTATAAAATATAGATTTATATCTCTAATTTATCTTCAAAATTAAAGTTTTATCAAAACTTATTATTTATTGAATTCAATTATTAATCGTATTATTATGAATTCATTTACAAAAACAATGATACATCAATTTTATTCAAGATATATAAAAATAGTTATCAAAAATAATTGTGAAAAGAATAATCAGGAATAAGGTTAATTACCCATAATATATAAAAATGAAATCAAAATTAATAAAATTTAATTTATTTTAGCAGCAAATTCATTCAGAAATAAAGACTTTGCTATTAGAAGTTACATGTTTATTGGATTTTGGATTTAAAATTAAATCCATATCATCTTAACGTACTTCTGAGTCTTCTGGATTGAAATATCTCATTGTTGGTTTACGATATACTTATTTTTATAATGGTTAAGTTTTTTTCTATGGTTTTCTAGATTGTTATTGACTTAAAATTTTAAGATAGATTGGCTTACTATTCATAACTCTTTTCATATGAGTAATTGTTTATTTTAGCGAATTTTTCTAGACAAAATGGTTCATTTAATTTTTCATCCAAACTTCTTCGATCTAAAAATCTTAGATATTGAACTCTTATTGGATTTGTGTATTTTAATCTATAACTAGGATTCATTTTAATAGGAAGTCGATGAGTAGTATGAATATCTATAGAAGGGAGCTTAAAATCTGATTAAGAATGAGATTCTTATAATTACTACATAATTAATTTATTAATAAAAATCATTTATCTATGAACTATGAATTCTATTGCTATTGTTATTATTATTGTTATTTTTAAGTACTTGATTATCGAGTAATTTTTGATTTTTAGCTAATTTATGATTTTGTATCACTAATAGCTTTTTCTGATTTATTTATTTAAGATTCGCTTTCCAAATAATTTGACCTCTTAATAATTTTGTTTGGATTTTCTGAATAACTTATTTATATTAAAGATTACATTCTGGTTTTGGAATAGAAGGTACTTTAGTTCCAATGACACCCTCTGGATAATTTTAGAGAAACTTTTCTATTCCTCCACTTAGAAGGTAAACATTTTCAAATCCTTTTTCTGCAAAGAGGGTAGCTGATGGTATACCATTCTTTTCATCAAAATGATAGATAATAATTAGTTTGCCTTCTTAATTTTTCTATTATTAGATTTTATGATAAAAACTTACAAATCTATAAATTTATTGAGTAAGCTTATCTTATCTGAGATATGGAGCAGGGAAATTGATAGCTTCTTTTATATGATACATTTAATATTCGTCTTGATCTCTTAAATCAATAAGGAGAAATTCAGATTAATCACTAAGACCAAGTTATTCAGTTGCAAAAGTAATTGCAGAAACTTAAGAGACTTCAGTAAATCTTGTTTTTTGACTATATTAACTCTAAGTATCAAATTATTTCAATTGATCTTATTCTTATTAATCAATTATATTATGTATTGATTCTTATACAGGTTCTTCCTAAAAATTAAATATTAAGTACACTAATAAGTTTCAATACTGTGGAACATTTTATTCGTTTGAAAATCTCAGATCTCTTTTTTGCTATTGTCTAATTGCTAATAACCTCAATATCCCGAACTGTTGGTCCTGTATTTAGAGTTTATTTGACATAGTCATATTTTTTATTTTTTGGAACCTTTTTATCTAACGGCTGATGATGTAAAATGAATTGATTACATTTCCCTTTCCTTTTATATATCCAATAGGTAATTTGTCCATTTTATTTAATTTAAATAAATTGTTAACTAAAATTCAATATTGATAATGATTTTCAATTTAATACAATGATAGTCTTTGGATTTTATAGAAATTAATCAATTACAATGTAGATGCAGCAACACTTGCTAAATAATCTTTAATCTATGTATCATTAATGATCTATTGGAACAAATTAATTTAAGATTAATTTACTTGTTAGATCTAGTAATAAAAGCCATTTAAATTTAATATTAGAATGGATCCACAAAACTAATTAATAGTATTGCATAGAATCTCTTTTGTCAGTTTTCAACTTTCTTTTAAATTACAAAATAGTCAATCAAAATTCCAACATTTTTGCTTATCTAATATTTTATTCGGATAAAATTTAGTTCATAAGTTTATTGTTAGATTTATCGTTTAATATGATTTTTAACAAGATATTCCATTTTATTTAATGTTTTATATTGCTTAAAACAATCTCAGCATTTTATAATGTCTAGGTCATAGGAAATCATGTTGTACTATTCATGATAAATGTTTCTGGTAAGGATACTTCTGTTATTTATAGAATTTACTAAGGAGATGGTTTTAAAAATAATACTTCCATTCCAGGAAAATGATTATGGGCTTGGAACTTATATAAAAATTAGGATCCTCTTTCAAAATATTTACGAAAATTTAGTTCTACATGAAAAAATTGTATCATTGTATGATAAATGATATTATATTACTTTCTAGGATAATATTTTGAAGTAAATCTTTACCAGCAGCATATAAAACTTATGTAATAATATTNTCAAATTATTTCAATTGATCTTATTCTTATTAATCAATTATATTATGTATTGATTCTTATACAGGTTCTTCCTAAAAATTAAATATTAAGTACACTAATAAGTTTCAATACTGTGGAACATTTTATTCGTTTGAAAATCTCAGATCTCTTTTTTGCTATTGTCTAATTGCTAATAACCTCAATATCCCGAACTGTTGGTCCTGTATTTAGAGTTTATTTGACATAGTCATATTTTTTATTTTTTGGAACCTTTTTATCTAACGGCTGATGATGTAAAATGAATTGATTACATTTCCCTTTCCTTTTATATATCCAATAGGTAATTTGTCCATTTTATTTAATTTAAATAAATTGTTAACTAAAATTCAATATTGATAATGATTTTCAATTTAATACAATGATAGTCTTTGGATTTTATAGAAATTAATCAATTACAATGTAGATGCAGCAACACTTGCTAAATAATCTTTAATCTATGTATCATTAATGATCTATTGGAACAAATTAATTTAAGATTAATTTACTTGTTAGATCTAGTAATAAAAGCCATTTAAATTTAATATTAGAATGGATCCACAAAACTAATTAATAGTATTGCATAGAATCTCTTTTGTCAGTTTTCAACTTTCTTTTAAATTACAAAATAGTCAATCAAAATTCCAACATTTTTGCTTATCTAATATTTTATTCGGATAAAATTTAGTTCATAAGTTTATTGTTAGATTTATCGTTTAATATGATTTTTAACAAGATATTCCATTTTATTTAATGTTTTATATTGCTTAAAACAATCTCAGCATTTTATAATGTCTAGGTCATAGGAAATCATGTTGTACTATTCATGATAAATGTTTCTGGTAAGGATACTTCTGTTATTTATAGAATTTACTAAGGAGATGGTTTTAAAAATAATACTTCCATTCCAGGAAAATGATTATGGGCTTGGAACTTATATAAAAATTAGGATCCTCTTTCAAAATATTTACGAAAATTTAGTTCTACATGAAAAAATTGTATCATTGTATGATAAATGATATTATATTACTTTCTAGGATAATATTTTGAAGTAAATCTTTACCAGCAGCATATAAAACTTATGTAATAATATTATGATTAGAATAATCTGTAATTATATTAATTGTAAATTAATAATGAATGAGAAGGTAGATATTTATTCAATTCACAATAATGATAATCCTTGAGAATATTAAGTTATGTTTATCAAGGAATAGATTGATTTGTTGACAATATACTTTATTTGATAGGATAAATTTTCCTTTATTGCTTAGATAGTATAATTATAATTATTTTTAATATCATTATTTAGAACAGCAATTAAATCTCCTTTAGAATCATCTATAAATTAGGGTTCTTTTTGATCTTCTTGTCTATATTGAAATTTGTTCTTCTTTTCAGATTTTAATTTATATATCCATATAAATTTAATTTGGTGTATTAGATGTTCAAAGATGCTATTTATGAATAATTTAGTCTTTGATATGTTAGATTCTTGATCATTAGTTACGTAGAGAGGGTAGAAAAGAAGTAATTTGCAATTAAACATATATAAGTAGGAATGTTAGTTGTTATTCTTATTTAATTGGACGCATTTAATAAAATTATGATTTAAAATGAATTTCAATAAAAAAAGAAAGATAACATTGTTTTAGATTTTAGGAAGAGAGAGAGTTAATAAGAAGTCATCATCACAACATAAAAAATCAAATACAATTGATCATGTATAATTACCATAATTATACGATAACTTTCTAACTGAACATTCATTACGTCTAGGTTTTTAGAAATAATAAAAATCTATCAAATTAAAAGATGATTTTCCAGCCAGAACATCTTTAAGTGTTTCAACAAGATCACCAGGCAGATTATAAAGTATTATATATTCAGGATAAATGAATATAAAGATAGACTAATTGATTAACAGAAAGAAATATGTGAAATCGAGTCTAATTATGAAGTTAAACTGATTTATATATTAATTCATTCAATCAATCCTTTTACTCCTTTTATCCTTTAGAATATCCTGCTGGATACAAAAGTTTTCTTAATTTTTCTTCTTCTTACAATGGATCATTATCTTCATAACCTTTTAAATTTAATTAACAAATTTACCATATAGTCTATATGCATTAATATCACCTCGAGCATCACCAGTAATAAGTACTGGACTATTGTGAGCAAATCTGACCATTGTTTTTGCTGGCCAATTCTCTAATTCTGTAGGCATTATTGTAAAATATGGATCTAACATATTATTTTTTGTCAAATCCCATAATTCTAATCTTCCATCTTTACAAACTGAAGCAAATAAAACAGAAGTATGAGGAGACCATTCAAAATCTAAAACTTCATCTTTTAAATTTTATTGCTTAATATAACAAAAATATTAATACTTAAAAATTAGCTTTAGGGAGTTCTTCTGTCCAATTCCATAATTTACATGACCAATCTGCACTACAAGTTAAAAAGATATCTCCAAAAAAAGGATTACATCTAACCTTATACACTGGTCCAGAATGTCCAAAATAATTATCTAAATATTATTCAGTATATGATTTAGAGCATCTATGAATAGTACCATCTTCAGTAGCAGCCAAATACATAGCTGATTCTCTTTGTAAGAAATCAAAAGAGAATCCAGCTGACATTCTAAAATTAACACCTTCTTATAAATTTTCTTTTTATGATGATTATACAACTCTTTTAAGATTCATTAAATTAGTATATTCTAATCCTTTTTTCATTGACCATTCTACAATTCTACTATCACTACTAATACTAACAAGTGATTCTCCTTTATCAGTTCCTTTTGCTCCTTTTCCAATCCATTAAACTTCCCAAACAGAATCACTATGCTTTCCTGCCATTTCTTTATTTTCAGTAATAGGTTTATTAGATTTTCTTCTAATATCCCAAACAGCTACAATACCATCAACAGTTCCAGCTGCTATAAGATTGGGTTAGCTTTCTGAAAATTTACAACAATTAAATTTAGATGGATATGTAATAATTCTTTCAGGGAATGTAGGATTCTTTAAAGTCCAAAACATAATATGTCCATCAGATGTTTCTCTATTTGCATATGATACTGCTAATAAATCTTTATTTACAGGATTCCAATCAGCACTTGTTACTTTGCATTATTCACTTAATTAACATTTATATGAAAATAATTAAGTAATAGGATTTTATTATTTTTTTTCTACAATTTCTTCATCTTCTAATTTATTTTAAAAATTTCTTTTGAATGCTCCTCCTCTTTATTTTGGATCTTCATTAAGTGTCATTTTTTCAAATTTAACTTCAGGGTAATTACGATATTAAATATATTGTTTATGATATAGATTCTAATTAAGAATTCTTTCTACATATTTCAAACTGGTTTAAACTTATTAACTTTAATAAATGATTTATTCTTATTCACTAATTTATGAATTAGTTTTCTAGACATATAATTTCATATATTCTTCTTCTTTAAGATCTTGTTCATCCTATTTTTATTCATATTATTTTTATTGTTATTCAGGTAATGGATTACTAGTTTTACCGTGACTTTTAGTGACTTGTGATTAAATATTATTGGCTTATTAAGATCCTACATTTGTGACTCCTTTGGTTCCTGTATGACTAGAAGAACTATCTTAAATTCTTTCATCACCACCTTATCCAGTTAATCCACCACTCAAATTATTTATTGGTTATTATTTAGTGTTGGTAGCTATTCCACTTCTAGTTTTACTTTATGATTTTTCAGATGTTTCTTTTCCTAATACTGGTCTTTCCGCATGTATTTTAATTGCTTCTAATTCAGTTGGTAATAAAAAATATGGATTTTTATTCAGTTACTTGTATTCATTCTCGATACTCGTTTTTATTTCCTCTTGTAATATTTCGAATTCATTCAATTAATCTGTTATTGAAGCATCATATAAATCCCATACTGCTGTAAATGCTCCTGTGTCATTCTTCTCTATTTTATTACATTATTATGGTTTATGTTTTTGTATGTAATTAAATGTTTAAGCGAATCTCTTTGTAAAATTATCACTTCCAATCTTCTCCACTATAAATTATTCATACTTTTAGGTTCTCTAAACTTAACCTGTTTTTTTACCATGTTCACTATTTACAAAAGATGATGGTCTATTTAGATTATTTATATATTTATTTACATAAACATTAAACATTATGTTGGTGTTTCACTTAAGTTAATTGGGATATTCTCTTCTAAATCTTCTTCTTTTAACCCTTTTTTTTGTTTAGGCTTCTTCTCTTATTATTCTGATTAATCTCGTTTAGAATCTGAATCCGAATATGTATCTGATTGTTTTGATTCCATAAAACTACTCCTTTCTGGATTATTAGAAGATGAAACTTTCAAATCTGAATTCGATGATTTATCCTATTATACTATATTTATTGTACTGCACTCTAATGGAATGATTTCATATTACTATCCATCACACTTGCGCTCACTTTTGTATCTGCCGGTTTCTATAATTATTTAAGTCTCTATTCTTCTTCTCTATTCTACTATTCAGCTAATTGCAAGAACCTCTTAGTAATCAATCTAATTTTCATATCATAATCTTACTCTTTAGGTGTCACTATACTATCCTTATACTTCACTATAACATTATCTTATTATGATTATTAAGTATCTTTTCCTGTTTGAGGAGGACCTAATTAAGTTCTTCCACCACCCAATTGATTAGGTCTATCAATATATATTCAATTTACCTCTTTGCTGTCACATTAGAACGAACATTAGATTTCGTTACTCCTGCTTTTAACACTTCTGATGAAATTGATTACATTTTATTTATTAATGGAATCAAAAAATCTTACCCAAACCATCAATCCCTTATATTTCCTTGGTTCTTTAGCTTTGGGTACTATTGGAGCTGCTGCCTTAAATGCATTAAAAAAAGCTTCCACAAAAACTACTCATTCAATTTTTGAGGAAAATATCTCAGCTTCTGCATCTGCACCACAATCACCTAAAAAACCAATGAAAAAATAAGACATTAATAAGTTGATTGCAAAAAATGCTAATGAGAATGAATTAGTCAAAGAATTGAAAAATTTAGAAGAAATTACATGTGAGATAGAAAGAGTTTCTAATCTTGCATATGATTTAAAGCTTTAAGTATTACCTTTGAATGTAAATCCTATGCTTGGTAATTCAAATTATAGAAGTGTATTTGGTGGAGAAGGTTTTTTACCTGAGACTGCTTTTGTAAATCATGATTGTTATATCCTTTGTAATATAATGATATTAATTTAGAATACCCTAATTTTGGACCAAATGATTTATTATCAAGGACAAAGAGATGGTTAAGATCTGGTCCAAGAAAGCATTTATTATTTAATCCTGATGAAGTAAAAGCAGGAATAGTGGTAGTAGGTGGATTATTACCAGGATTAAATGTAATAATTAGAGAATTAACAATGTGTTTGTTTTACAATTACAAAGTATAAAGTATTTATGGTGCTAAATATGGATACAATGGAATATATAACAATGAGTGGATAAAATTAGATCCAAAATTGGTTAAGACTATTCATCATTAAGGTGGTTGTTTTTTAGGAACAGCAAGATCCAAATTTGATGGTGATATGATAATTGGTGAATTAACTAAAAATGGAATAAATTAAGTTTATTTAATTGGTGGATTAGGTTGTATGAGGAGTGCTTAAAAGTTACATACTATTATAAAAGAGAGAAATCTTAAAATAAGTATAGTTGTAATACCAAAGAGTATAGAAAATGAAATTCCAATAATTGATAAATCTTTTGGATTTGAAACTGCAATAGAGGTAATATTGTAATTCAATATTATAAAAAGGAAGCTTAAAATCCTCTAAAAGCAGCTTATTAAGAAACTCATTCTAAAAGATATTCAGTAGGAATAGTTAGATTATGGGGAACACATACAGGGTTTTTAGCGTTAAATGCTTCATTAGCATTTAGAAGTGTAAATATATGTTTAGTTCCTGAATTTGAATTTGATCTTTTTGGAGATAAAGGATTATTATAATATGTTTATTAAAGATTATAACATAAAGGAACTTGTATAATAGTAGTAGCTGAAGGAACTGCATCTTCTTTAAGAGATTGCAAAATTAATGATAAAGGTAGAGATGCTTCAGGAAATGTCAAATAAGGTGATATTGGATAATTTTTAAAAAATGCTATACTACAATTTACTAGAGAAAAAGGTTTAAATGCTGAAGTTAAATATATTGATCCATAATATATGATTAGAGCTGGTAAAGCTAATTCATTAGATTCTAAACTATGTAGTTAATTAGCTTAAAATTCTATTCATGCTTCTATGGCTGGTTTTACTGGTTTTGCTGTTGGTCATGTTAGTAATAAAACATGTATGATTCCATTGAACGAAATGAATTCTGGAGATTATGCAAATAGAATTACTGTATATTTATATTCTCTATTATTCTAGCCATCAAATATATCATGGTAAAGATTATTAGCTGGAACTGGATAACCATCATTCTTAAATGATGAATAAGATATTTGATAACAAAAATATAATAAAAATTGTTAATCATATTAAATTGAAAAATAATTATGCACTTGGCATCAATCCTGCATCTTCTAAAGTTGTTTAATCATCTTTCTAAAAAATAGTTCGAGGAAAATTCAATATTATTTAAATATTTCTATCCTAATATTCTTTTAATCCTGAAACCATCTAATACATATCACAAATCCTTTATTTTCCATACATTAAAGCAATTAAACTATATTTTCCTGTTTCAGTTCTAAATTTCAATGTACATACATCTTCTAATTCTTCTCCATTATCAACTTTTCTTTATGCATCAGTATCTACTATCCAATTACCATCTATTGGATCTTATCTGCATCCTGCTGATCTTAATTATTATGTTGCATTTAAATTTGGTTATCCAGATAATCTTTTTTCTATATCTGATCTAATAGGTATGATTTTACCATTTTTAATAACACATTCAGGCAATTACTAAAATAATATAATATATAATTTACATACCTCTAAAAATTATTCTTTATTCATTGGTTTCAATTATTTCTCTGCTAAATCTTCATATCCACATTATTTTTTATCATCTGCTTTTGCCTCATAGACTTCTTCAGTCTTGTCAATTAATTTTAATGGTGTACCATTTGGAAATTATTATCTATTAATATTTTTAATTATAAATTACTTTAATTAATATGGAAAATAACCCTCTAATATATCTGCCAATATTTAATAAGCATCATTTGAACCATAACTAAAAAATTTATATCCTCTCATTGCAATTCCATTTTTATAAAATCCAATAGGTACTGGTTCCATTTTTTAAAATTAATGCATACCATTTGCATTCTTTACTATTTAATTAGCTCCATCTTTCTCCATTATATAATTTAATTCATCTATCCTTCTTTTTATTACATCTATTGAAATCTCCTTTGGTAAATGATAATTAAATAATGGTTTCATTTATTTCATATCTGAAGCCATTTGTTTCATCTTTTTATCATCCTCATCACTTATTTTATCACCAACCCACTTTACTCCATATTTTTATAAGAACTTCTCCATATCTTCTATTTTCTTTTATTTCTTTTAATTTTCTTCTTTTAAATTATTAATCTCATTCATATATGCTTATTTATCTCCACTACCTAATTTTCTATTTATTTCTGTTAATTCTTATACTTTCTCTCTCAATTATTCAATTATTTAGTATTTCTCTTTCAATTCTAATTTTTGATTTTATGATAATTTTTCAACATCTGCTAATCTTCTTGCCATAGCACTATTTAAATCCTTTGAATTTCCACTATCCTTTTAACTACTTCTGATGGGACTCTAATTTTATATTTTATGTTGATTTAATAAAGCTTCAACTGCATCAAATTGTTATGATGGTTAACCTATTATTTAAATTTTATTATTATTTTATTACCTATTGGAAGATCTTTCAAAATCAAATTGGCTGTTTATTAATCTAAAATATCATGAGTAATTTATGGATAATTAATAGCCTTAGAACCAGCATCTTTTAATACTTTTGGAGGTTTTGCACTTGCAGGCTTTGATTTATCAGATGCTGAAGATTTTCTATTTGATTGTACAGGTGTTCCTTGTTGTTCTTATTAAACATTCTTCATTTAATATTCATTTTTATTCTTGTCTAACCCTGCATAAAACATATTTTATAATTTAATTTATAAATATATTATATTATCGTAATTTAACTAACTTTAATCAAACTATCTTATAAATCATATTTTCCTTTCATTTTATCACAATTAATAGCTTTAAATTTATGTTCTAAGATTTTACTCCCTTAAATTTACTTTTATTTTCTTAAAATATTAAACACTTTATAATTTAGATAATCCTATCTAAAATACATTTTTATTCTTGCAGATATCTCTCACTATTATTAATTTAATGTTTCAATATATATTTCATATCAGATATTCATTTTAGATATTTTATTTAATTTGAATATGTTTTTTTAGTCAATAATTTATTTTTACTTTTTTTATTTAATAATTATTAATTTAAAAATAGAATAAATTTTTAATTAATCAACTCACTTTTTTTAATGAATAACATTTTTGATAGTANTGAAATCTCCTTTGGTAAATGATAATTAAATAATGGTTTCATTTATTTCATATCTGAAGCCATTTGTTTCATCTTTTTATCATCCTCATCACTTATTTTATCACCAACCCACTTTACTCCATATTTTTATAAGAACTTCTCCATATCTTCTATTTTCTTTTATTTCTTTTAATTTTCTTCTTTTAAATTATTAATCTCATTCATATATGCTTATTTATCTCCACTACCTAATTTTCTATTTATTTCTGTTAATTCTTATACTTTCTCTCTCAATTATTCAATTATTTAGTATTTCTCTTTCAATTCTAATTTTTGATTTTATGATAATTTTTCAACATCTGCTAATCTTCTTGCCATAGCACTATTTAAATCCTTTGAATTTCCACTATCCTTTTAACTACTTCTGATGGGACTCTAATTTTATATTTTATGTTGATTTAATAAAGCTTCAACTGCATCAAATTGTTATGATGGTTAACCTATTATTTAAATTTTATTATTATTTTATTACCTATTGGAAGATCTTTCAAAATCAAATTGGCTGTTTATTAATCTAAAATATCATGAGTAATTTATGGATAATTAATAGCCTTAGAACCAGCATCTTTTAATACTTTTGGAGGTTTTGCACTTGCAGGCTTTGATTTATCAGATGCTGAAGATTTTCTATTTGATTGTACAGGTGTTCCTTGTTGTTCTTATTAAACATTCTTCATTTAATATTCATTTTTATTCTTGTCTAACCCTGCATAAAACATATTTTATAATTTAATTTATAAATATATTATATTATCGTAATTTAACTAACTTTAATCAAACTATCTTATAAATCATATTTTCCTTTCATTTTATCACAATTAATAGCTTTAAATTTATGTTCTAAGATTTTACTCCCTTAAATTTACTTTTATTTTCTTAAAATATTAAACACTTTATAATTTAGATAATCCTATCTAAAATACATTTTTATTCTTGCAGATATCTCTCACTATTATTAATTTAATGTTTCAATATATATTTCATATCAGATATTCATTTTAGATATTTTATTTAATTTGAATATGTTTTTTTAGTCAATAATTTATTTTTACTTTTTTTATTTAATAATTATTAATTTAAAAATAGAATAAATTTTTAATTAATCAACTCACTTTTTTTAATGAATAACATTTTTGATAGTATAAATCAATAATTCAAAAACAAATATAAAAATCATATTAATATTTCAATGAAACTTTTTAAGTACTTAAATTAATTAAGTTTCATTTATTGGTTTAACTAAAAAATCAGACATGCCACAACCAATACATTTTTCATATTCTTATTGGTCTGAATGTCCACTACATCCAACAATAATATAATTTGGATAATTACTAAGAATTTTTTCTGTAGTTTCTTAACCATTCATGAATGGCATCTCTATATCCATAAATACTATTTTGTATCCTTAACAAGAATTACTACATTTCTTATTTTAAATTTTCTCAATACATTCCTATCCTGATAAAGCTGAATCAACATCAAACTCATTCTAAAATAAATATTTTTTGTTTTTCAATAATTATGAAAATAGTCTTCTAATAGCAAAAATATTAAAACAATCATCGTCTACAATTAAATAATGTAAGCATATTTATGAAGTTGAAGAGTCCCCTTTGATGTGAGAATGTATATATTTAAAACTTGCTATTTCTTCCACCTCTTAAACTTAGAGTGAAATTTCTGGAATTTTGAAACTAGATACTTTCTTTCTAAGGGGCTACTCTAAAGGCAAATCAAAATAAAAATGAGAATAATGATTTTCTTACTTATTACTTGATTCAAGTTACAATCCAATAGAACCTATTGTTTAAGCTATTTGACTACTTATTACTAAGCCTAAACCTACACCTTATTAATTTAACTTCTTGCTTTCTTCTGAATTTACTTTTGAGAATGCTTTAAATAATTTCATTTAATCTTCATCTGAGATTCCAATCCCTTCATCCATAACACCAATTCTCAATATATTAGAATTTACTTTTGAAATATTAATAGAAATCTATCCATTTTAAGTAAATTTGAATGCATTACTTAATAAATTAATTATTATTTGTTTTATTCTACTTCTATCAGAATATACTATTTTTGGTATTTAATTTCCAAGATTAAATATTAATTAAACTTTTTTCATTTTAGCCTTTAATTAAAACATTTTCATACATTCTTAAATTAATGTTTCTAAATTAAATGGTACCTTATCAATTTTAAATTTTCCATTTTTAATTTAGGCTAAATCTAATAAATCATTTGATAAATTAAGAATATAATTTGAATTATCTAATGCTACTTATAATTATTCAGTTAAATCTGAGTTATCATTAATTGTTTAATCATTAATAACACATTCTAAAATTTAAATTATACAATTTAAAGGGGATCTATATTCATGACTAACAAAAGCTAACATTTTAGATTTTTATTTATCATATTCTCTGAGATATCGTATTTTTTATCTATGTGTTACATCTCTTACAATTATGATAATATTTTTATTTTTATTTAAAGTTAATGTTAATTCAATCAATGAATAATTTTCACAATTGATTTAAGTTTATGAAGTTTAAAGAAATTAATTTGCAGTAGAATTTGAAAATCTTTGATGCATTTAAGCTTATACAATTAAACATTCATAATTAGATGGTTTAAATAGCATTTCTAATGCTTATTTTAATTGATATTTATGTAATAAATCATATTAAGAATCTTGATTATAATTTTTATTATGTGATGTTGATTGATCTTTAACTTCACTTTATTTCATACAATAATAAGAAGATCTTCTTTGTAATTAAGATAGATGCAATAGACCATCTGTATAATCATTTCCAATAAATATAGTTAGATTTTCTAAAAAGTTTAATATATCAGATTCAGTTTCTTTAGCGAAAATAACTTTGGTTGCTTAATTAGTATATTTAAGTGAATATGGAAAGTGAGGATTTTCTGATTCAATTCCTAAAATAATCAAACCTTCATTTAAGTATTACAAACAATTTGATATTGTTTCTAGAATAATTGTGTCATAGATTGCAGCTTCTCTTAGACATGCTGAATTGAGATTCTGATCTAAATCTAATTAAGATGCATTCTTATTGAATTTAACATTATCTTATTTATTTGTATTACTTATTTCAGTAAATAATAGGCTAACTTAAGATTGAGGAGGTTTAAGAGATTTAGTAAAATAATATAATGAAAAGCAAAAGCATATTAAAAGTTAAGGATGTTCAATATCGAATTGAATTTGTGAATAGGAATATATAATCAAAAAGAGTGATACAATATATTGAAGGATAATAACGGGAAATTTATTTGTTTACTTTAATTCAAGAAATAAGTCCTTCGTTAATAGTTATGAAATAATGAGCTATGAAAAAGGTATCCTTGATAAATTTGATACATTCATCAATATTAAACAAATCAAATCTAATTGAATACAAATAATAGTTCCTTACAATATGAACTTATTAAATATAATTTGAAGCATCAAAAATACAATTGTAATTGAAGTTGTAGCTATTAATGTTATCATATTGAGCATGCTGGAACTTTTCAAATAGAAAAATATTGAATATGAAATTATCATGCAGTGTATCAGATTTGCCAAAAGACATTTTTGATTTAACATTTTTTATTTAAATTACACATAAAAAAGATCATCTCTATTTTCTGTTTTTTATAATACACATTTTAAATCTCATCAAAATATTGTACACAAACATTCTTGATTTCTAATATTTTTGTTAATGATTAAATTTTAATCGCAGTTTTTTTATGGTGATTACTAACTTGTAACATCAGTATCTTAAGAGTAACTACTTTATTTATTTTCTTTATCTATTTCCATCATTTACAAATAACTAAAATTAATTTTATTGCTATTACAAATCTTTTGTGTCAAATTAATATATTTACTTTACAATTATAAGTTACTTCTTCAAAACAATATTTGCTCTTGAAATTGCTGTACAAAAACTCACTAAATCTTACAGTAATTCATCCTCAGTAATATTCTCTATTTAATTTCTGATGCTCTCAAATTATTCATTTAATTAAAGTCTATTTTACATTAATTCACTTTCTAAACAATTTAGTTCAAATTTAAAATTTTCTGCTATTTGTAATAAGTTAATCTATTTTTATATTTCCTCTCTTTATTATTTCAACTCTATATCTTAGCCTAATTTTTAATAGCAATTTTTTAATTCTATCAGGTTTGTTTTAAAATAATGTCTAAGATCTAAATTGATTATAATTACATTTATTGGAGGTAAGACTCCTTGTTATTTTTAAATCTAGGTGGCAATTAAGCTATTACACAGGTCGTAGATTATTACACTTGAGCTTATTTATTTAAAGTTTCCTATAGACTTTTATTAATCCTTCTAATCTTAAAAAATCATATTTGTATAGTACTTGTTTCTGTTTTTCATATATATAGGATTTCAACTATTCCTGCTTCTCTTTGGAAAAGAATTCATCTATATCTAATTTAATATTGCAAGTTGTCTAATAGAGTTGTATTAATAAATACTTAGACTTTCTAAAATATTACTCCTAATTGTTATTTCTCTTAATCATCCTTCCATTAAGTTGTTAGAATATAGTTTAATAATTCTTGTTAAGTTTGGAGAGCCAATTCAAATTTATTCATAAATGTTGAGAAATATCCAAAAAGAATTTATCTAATAAACACATAAGTATTTAATAAATCAATTTGTATGTATAGGTTGACTAATAAAGAATGAGTTTAATTCTTTATCTAATTTTTCTCTTTCTTGTTTGAGATTCAACCTTAATTTCCTAAAACTTTATACAAATTAAGTACATCAAAATTTAATATTATCGTTCCTTTTCTGATTTTCTTCTTGGTTTTTTATAATTAGGAGATTCAATGTTTTTAGTTTCTGGAATAGTTACTTGCATGGATGATTCGTTAATATTGGTACACATCGATTATTCTTCTTTTAAATTCCTTTTTGAATTAATTATTTTCTCCTCAAATGTCTGAGTTTGTTCTTCTGAATAAGGTACTTCATAAACTTCGACTTCTACATCATTATTTCCCTAATCATCATGTTCAGTGATAATAATTTTGGGTAGAGATGTAGATTTATTGTGTATTCTTTTTTATCTTTCTTCATCTTAAATTTTTTTCTATGATTTTTAAATAGAATCTTATTTATTTTTGTTGCGTTTAAATTTAACTAGTTCAATTTTATTTCTCTTCACAATTTTTTTTCTTTCCTTTTCTTTCGTCTCGAGATATTTTTCCTTTTATAAAATTAAATATTTACATAAACTTATTCTCTTTTAGACATATTGTCTAGTGCTTCTTAAAAAGTATTTTCAGTTTTTTCATGTATAAGATTCTCTGCTTTTTATTTATAAGTAAGATATTTATAACTAAGACTTCTAAATTTTTATTTTTATGATTCTCGAGTGATTTGAATATATTATTCAACTTTTTAGAATTTGTTATTCATTTATTCTAATAAATTTTAATGTTCTTATTCTATTTTCTAAAATAAAGTGGATAGATTACTAATTAATGTTGTTCTACTCTTTCTAAATAGATTTTATGTTTCATAGATTTATAGATTTGATTTTATCTGATTTATTCAGTTTATTCTTCATTTAATATATTAAGACGGTGTTCTCTATATAAAGATTATATCTTACAGCTCAATTTCTTTTTTGACTAACTCATTTTTTTATTTAATAATTCCTAGAAATTGATGTTCTTACATTTGATTATTTTTTCTTTGTATAATTTTGGCTTTAATGTTAAATTTGTGAGCTTTTTATTTAATTTATATTTTCTTATCATTTTTAAATCCTTCAGCTTTCTTCAAAGATTCGTTAAGAGATTAACTCTTTAACAATCGATTAGATTCATCTGATTTTAGACTAGTATAGAATTTCTAAGATATTAATATAATGTAACTCTAATTCTGTCTCTTTCTTGATTATATGTAGTATAATACAATTCGTATTATTCGTGCATAATCTATTATTAATATTATATATATATATATAAATATAATATAAATATAATTTAAAATCATCCAAAAAAGCAACTAATTGAATTAACATCTCCAATTTCTACTAGAAATGCTCCTTCTCCCAAACTTTAATGAGGTGGTAATTAAACACAACTCATATATTTACCAACACTATATACTTTGTTTTAATGAATAATTGAAGTTAATGGTAATAAATCAACTGGTAATTGACTATCATTTACTGTAATACTTTTTAATTATTATATTATATAATATACCTTTCATTTTAGATATTATAAACTAATATTTTTTTACTGAAATAAAGATTATTCTCAAAATATTAGCTATCTTTTAATCCTCCAAAGAGTAGTATTTAATCTTCATTAATACATATAGCATTTCCCCAACTTACATCAAATCCTTCTAATTAATTATTAATAATTAATCTTTCCCATTTCTTTGATAATAAATCATATCTTTCTGCACTTACAACATTTAATTATAAACTTGATGTTCCAAAAAATACAAATATACTATGCATTTCTTCACAATAAGCACATGAAGATCTTGATCTAGCTTCATTTAATTTTGATATCTCTTCCCATTATTAAGTTTCTATATTGAATCTTTCACATAATTTAGTTCTATAATTATTATGTGTTCTTCCTCCTATTGCATAAATATAACCTTTTGGTGCATCTGACCAAAATGTATTTGGTTATATATATACTAATGTATGTCCAACTCTTTTAACCAACATTTCTTGTATCTTTTGTACAATTCCTTTTTAAATATCAATTAATCTGCATTCTCCTAATATCTAACCTTACGCATTCACTCCTCCACTTATGAATAAATTACCATTTGGTAAATTTAACATTGAACTCTGATCTGCTATCTATTCATTCAATTATGTTTCATAGATCTTTTATGAATTATAATCATATCCATATAGTTTATTATCTTAAACGTATGGTATACATCTTATAAATAATATTAAATTATTTACATTGAACTTTCTAAGAAATAATTTGCTTTATTTATATAAACATTTTGTGTCTTTCCTTTCTTACTTGGCCAATATACTGAAGCATATTAATTTAAACCAAAATATAAACTTTCTGTTATTCTATTTTGAATTTTTATATTAGGCATACATTCACTTGTATGATTTGGATAACTTTCACTCTAAATTTACATGCATTCCTATTATATATCATCTTTCTTTGCAGGATAATTTGCTGCCTAAAAATCTTCATAATCTATTTAAGAAAATTGTTTATCATTCATTTTCTTCTTGTATTCTGACAATTAAGCAAATATACTTTCAATCTCTTATTTCATATATTCTTTTATATATCTATATCACATACATTTTAATGCTGTTGTTGGATAAAATCTACTCAAGTATATATAGATATTTTGTATATCTTTAAAATATTAAGTTATTATATGATGTAGCTGTTATTTTGAACCTTCTATCAAATCAGTGTTTTTATTATAACTTGCTTGATTTCCTAATTCAGGAATATCTAAATTTTAAATCTTCTCCTTCAACTATCTTACCATTGCCATCAAATCTTATATTTGACTCTTTACTTCATCTTAATTCATTATTATTTTATTTTATAATACTAATTATTATTATGCCCAAATATATTTGTAAATTTATATATTGTTATAATTAATTATAAATAAAAAACTACTAAAATTCATTATTTTATTCCAATATCAATATTTTAATAAAGAATTCCTTACAAATGACATATTGGACAAATGACAACTCTTTTATTAAATCTTAGAATTGTAAATATAACAAACTGACTCTTTTTTCATAAAATTGTTTCTATAATTATCAAAACTTAACATACCCTAAAATTCTGAACAATTATAAAAAGTCTTCAAAATGAGTATATCTTGTAATATGTCCAATATTTCTTAATCTATTTTTAAGACGATTCATCAACTGAAGGAATTCTTATCCACGATCATCTCCTAACGTATCAAAAATTATGGAGCGTTAACGACAAGCATATTAAACTATAGCTTTTGCATAATTTTTTTATATATTTGTGGATTTAACTAAAAAGTTCGGTTTTTAAATTTTCTTGCTTTGTTTAAGCTTATTAGATTTAGAATGTATAGAAGTATCTCTCATTTCTTCATTATTACTATAAGAATCAAGTTAACTTTCGGTTTCAGATATAGATTTTTCTTTTTGTTATCCTGATAATTGGTTCAATTCAGAGGATATATTATTTGTTTAAGTGATTTTATCCATAACCTAAATTTAAGGATTAATAATCTAGGTATTAGATAATGCAATTGGTGTTGGTATCATAAAATATTGGTATCCTAAAGGATAGAAGTATGGCTATTGTACATAAAAAGTATTTAACATGAATTTATTTAAAATATATACACACAACAGTAAGACTTAATATATTAGCTATACGAATTCCGTTTATTCGCTTAATAAATTATAATATATATTACAATTGTTTTTATTAAAATAACATTGAGCTTTTTTCGTTTAATAAATGATATGCATCTTAAGTCCAAAACTGTGATTAGTGTTAGAAATTCTTAAAAACAAAAAAGAAGGACTGGGTCAAGATGGGAAAAAATAAATTAAGAAAAGTATAAGAAAAAAGATTAATAAAGATTGGAAAGAAGCTAGAAACACAAGAAAAGATAGAAATAATATCAAGAGATGAAGGATAGATAGAGATAAATTTGATTTTATGATTAAATTAAATATAATAATTTTTAGATTAACTATCTGTAATATTGTAATACTTTTATATATTGATAAGAATATATTTTCAGAAGTAAAGTTGAAAATTAAATGGTTATTAAATTACAATGCAAAGATTATAATTGGTTAGCTAAATATTGCGATTAATTTGGATATCTTTTATAGATGAAAAGAAGATCAAATGTTTAAGTCTAAATAGATATCAATATTAAATAAGGAAAACAATAATAGCATAAATTTTAGAACAACTTATTTATTATCTTAATGTGAAATGAATAATTAGAGATTAATAATTCAATTTACATACTTAACAACTATAATAATCAATTTATTTATGATTAAGCTTCCTTATATAATAATAAGTTAGAACTAATTAAATAATCTATAAATATATATTAAATAACAAAAGTATAAGACAAGAACTTCAGTAATTTCTAAATCCAAAAAAATAAAAAAAATATTTAATTTTATATATTATTTATTTCAATATAATTATTTACAAAAGATAGAAGAATCAATATTGTAATTGATTAATGTTAAAATTGTAATTTATTTTTCTTGTTTTAAAAATTGATTATTATAATTGAGCTAATAATTTTATTATAAAATGAGATAAACATAATTAATATAATGTGTATAGAAAGAAGAAGGAGATGAATTTGAATTTGATTTTGATAATCAATTTGAATCTTAATAGATGTTATAAACACCTGATTTCTGCACTACAAAATAAAATGAAGCAGTTCATTCATAAATTTCGTATTCTAATTAGATAGAAAAAACTGATTAATATGGATTCAAATCATAAATAAATTCTAAACATGATAAGGATATAAAAACTTTAAATGCTAGAGTTGAAAAATGGCGATAAATGATTAATGGATTTGAGAAATAAAATAGACAATTAATTAAAGAAAGAACTCGTAAAGTATTCATTAAATTTATAAAAGGGAATACCTGATGGATTAAGGGTATTAGCTTGGCCACTTCTAGCAGATATCAAGAAAGCTAAAGAAAATGCAAGTATCAATTAAAGGATCAACTATTCTGATTTTTTAACAAAAAATGAATATAAATTCGAGCACCAGATTAGATTAGATGTTCATCGAACATTCCCTGATAATATTAATTTTTAAGTATTTTTATTCTATTAAAAAGGATTAAACAGTTCTATCTGAATCACTTGTTAATGTTTTAAAAGCTCTATCAGTAGCTATTTCAGATATGGGATATTGTCAAGGTTTAAATTTCTTAACTGCTGCTCTTATCATGGTTACTAATGATGATAATGTAATAATCCTACATATTTTAAGGCCTTTTGGATTCTCTATCGCTTAATGACCCATTATAATTTAACAGCTAAATATAAAAATCCTAATTCTCTTTATAGAGAATTCTACATTCTTGATAATTTGATATCATAATATCATCCCAATACTTCTAAAATACTTAAACGTCATAATATTGATTTATTCTTTTTTACTACTGAATGGTTCTTTCTTATTTTATTATTCTTAGGTTTATTACAATGTTCTCAACTGCATTACCAATTAATCTATTTTATAGAATCTTTGAAATCTTCTTAATTGAAGGAGAAAAAACGCTTTTTAGATGTGCATTAACAATAATTCATTACAAAGAATAAAAACTTATTCAATTAAATGATTTTGAAGAAGGACTTTAATTTCTAAAGTCCTATCTTGATTTACAACTATTAGATACTAATTAATTTATTAATATTATGTTAAAGAATTACAAATTTTCCAAAACTATCATTCAACAATTAGATATAAAGTATAAAAAAAATTAAAAATGAAATCAAAAATAAATAATTTATATATTAAATATTATAAATAATGATTTATTTTTAATTTTATATAAAAATACAATATATTATTCTTCATTCCCTATTAAGATTAGATTAAATTTATTATACATAAAATTTTATAAATAAATCAAAAATTTTAATCTCATCTCCAATGTTTTTTTCATTAATAGAATAATTTACTTTTTAAAAAATAAATACTAAAATCAGCAATTTTATTCTCTGGCAATTAATTTTTTATTCTATTGATGTTATATAAGTGGAATACAAAATTTCAAAAGAAATATATACCAAAATATAAAATTTTATTCTCAAAATAAATTATTTGTATATAAAATATATTCTATTTATCATTAATTGATAACTTCAACCCAAGCCTATCCCAAAGCCAAGCAAGGAAATAAATTTGATGTAGATGGATTTATTTTCATTTAAAAACTTTCTTTTGTTTAAGGTTTTATCCATTTAANATTCTATTAAAAAGGATTAAACAGTTCTATCTGAATCACTTGTTAATGTTTTAAAAGCTCTATCAGTAGCTATTTCAGATATGGGATATTGTCAAGGTTTAAATTTCTTAACTGCTGCTCTTATCATGGTTACTAATGATGATAATGTAATAATCCTACATATTTTAAGGCCTTTTGGATTCTCTATCGCTTAATGACCCATTATAATTTAACAGCTAAATATAAAAATCCTAATTCTCTTTATAGAGAATTCTACATTCTTGATAATTTGATATCATAATATCATCCCAATACTTCTAAAATACTTAAACGTCATAATATTGATTTATTCTTTTTTACTACTGAATGGTTCTTTCTTATTTTATTATTCTTAGGTTTATTACAATGTTCTCAACTGCATTACCAATTAATCTATTTTATAGAATCTTTGAAATCTTCTTAATTGAAGGAGAAAAAACGCTTTTTAGATGTGCATTAACAATAATTCATTACAAAGAATAAAAACTTATTCAATTAAATGATTTTGAAGAAGGACTTTAATTTCTAAAGTCCTATCTTGATTTACAACTATTAGATACTAATTAATTTATTAATATTATGTTAAAGAATTACAAATTTTCCAAAACTATCATTCAACAATTAGATATAAAGTATAAAAAAAATTAAAAATGAAATCAAAAATAAATAATTTATATATTAAATATTATAAATAATGATTTATTTTTAATTTTATATAAAAATACAATATATTATTCTTCATTCCCTATTAAGATTAGATTAAATTTATTATACATAAAATTTTATAAATAAATCAAAAATTTTAATCTCATCTCCAATGTTTTTTTCATTAATAGAATAATTTACTTTTTAAAAAATAAATACTAAAATCAGCAATTTTATTCTCTGGCAATTAATTTTTTATTCTATTGATGTTATATAAGTGGAATACAAAATTTCAAAAGAAATATATACCAAAATATAAAATTTTATTCTCAAAATAAATTATTTGTATATAAAATATATTCTATTTATCATTAATTGATAACTTCAACCCAAGCCTATCCCAAAGCCAAGCAAGGAAATAAATTTGATGTAGATGGATTTATTTTCATTTAAAAACTTTCTTTTGTTTAAGGTTTTATCCATTTAATAATTTTGAGTTCAAAATCTATTAAAACTTAGATAATATCATATTCTGAATATGTGAAAGACTTTTAGCGTTTCTCTTAATTTTCAAATGAGGAATACGATGTCCCATCATTTTCAATCATATAACAACTTAAATATAAATAAATTTATTTTACTGAATTTAAGGAATCTCATCAAGTGTCACTATGAATTTTTACTACTTTATCTTTTCAATATCACAAACTCCAATCATTACCCAACCACCAATTTTAAAGGAAAATGAATAAGATCCTTTTTTAGGAATTAAAGGTTCACATACTACAAAATTATTCTAATAATATTTTTAACTAATGCTTCTTGCAGATTTTCCATCATTTTCAATAATAATATCTTCATGCTTCATTTAATTAGAAAAACTTATTTTAAGTTAAGTTGATGATTTTGCTTCTATTTATACTGTTTCTTATTTAATAGATGAAAAAATTTATACTGCAGATTTAAATATAGGAGTTAATGAAATAATATTTTTTGTAATCTCATTTGATATATTTGAAATATTCTCTTGAAATTAATCAAAACATAATAAACTATTTNGATAATTTGATATCATAATATCATCCCAATACTTCTAAAATACTTAAACGTCATAATATTGATTTATTCTTTTTTACTACTGAATGGTTCTTTCTTATTTTATTATTCTTAGGTTTATTACAATGTTCTCAACTGCATTACCAATTAATCTATTTTATAGAATCTTTGAAATCTTCTTAATTGAAGGAGAAAAAACGCTTTTTAGATGTGCATTAACAATAATTCATTACAAAGAATAAAAACTTATTCAATTAAATGATTTTGAAGAAGGACTTTAATTTCTAAAGTCCTATCTTGATTTACAACTATTAGATACTAATTAATTTATTAATATTATGTTAAAGAATTACAAATTTTCCAAAACTATCATTCAACAATTAGATATAAAGTATAAAAAAAATTAAAAATGAAATCAAAAATAAATAATTTATATATTAAATATTATAAATAATGATTTATTTTTAATTTTATATAAAAATACAATATATTATTCTTCATTCCCTATTAAGATTAGATTAAATTTATTATACATAAAATTTTATAAATAAATCAAAAATTTTAATCTCATCTCCAATGTTTTTTTCATTAATAGAATAATTTACTTTTTAAAAAATAAATACTAAAATCAGCAATTTTATTCTCTGGCAATTAATTTTTTATTCTATTGATGTTATATAAGTGGAATACAAAATTTCAAAAGAAATATATACCAAAATATAAAATTTTATTCTCAAAATAAATTATTTGTATATAAAATATATTCTATTTATCATTAATTGATAACTTCAACCCAAGCCTATCCCAAAGCCAAGCAAGGAAATAAATTTGATGTAGATGGATTTATTTTCATTTAAAAACTTTCTTTTGTTTAAGGTTTTATCCATTTAATAATTTTGAGTTCAAAATCTATTAAAACTTAGATAATATCATATTCTGAATATGTGAAAGACTTTTAGCGTTTCTCTTAATTTTCAAATGAGGAATACGATGTCCCATCATTTTCAATCATATAACAACTTAAATATAAATAAATTTATTTTACTGAATTTAAGGAATCTCATCAAGTGTCACTATGAATTTTTACTACTTTATCTTTTCAATATCACAAACTCCAATCATTACCCAACCACCAATTTTAAAGGAAAATGAATAAGATCCTTTTTTAGGAATTAAAGGTTCACATACTACAAAATTATTCTAATAATATTTTTAACTAATGCTTCTTGCAGATTTTCCATCATTTTCAATAATAATATCTTCATGCTTCATTTAATTAGAAAAACTTATTTTAAGTTAAGTTGATGATTTTGCTTCTATTTATACTGTTTCTTATTTAATAGATGAAAAAATTTATACTGCAGATTTAAATATAGGAGTTAATGAAATAATATTTTTTGTAATCTCATTTGATATATTTGAAATATTCTCTTGAAATTAATCAAAACATAATAAACTATTTATATCATCTTCCATCTAATGGTAATTTAAGTTCTCAAATGATTGATTTCTATCAAACTCTGAAATACTTATAAATCCTTATAATAACTTAAGATATTGCTAAACCATGTTATAATGATTTTAAATTGCAGTATAAGCTTGCATTAATGTACTCTTCCAACTTATCAATTTGGCCATTTATTTTAAATCCTTATTATGATCATTATGAAAATCAATTATGCATTAAAAACAAACTAATCTTCTTTTAATACATCCAGGATTAGAACATACTGCAATAATCTCATTATTTTCATGATTTTCAAATATGCATATCACCATTTAATTTATTATTGTATTTATAAAAAAAACTTTAAATAATTGTTAATTTATAGAAATTAAATACAGAGCAGATAATTGAAGTATAGAGATAAAAAATATTGATTGATTGATTTATAGTAAAAAATAAATAAATTTAAAATCAACAAGTGTCTTCTCCAAATTGTAATCCAATTCCATTAATTAAATTATTTTGACTGATTTCTGAAATATATTAATATCTATCTAAATTATTTTATAAATTGCTCAATGCCTTTGTTAAGGTTTTGTTTTAATCCTTATATATATTCTATAATAGACTCAAAAAAATACATTTTAATGTTCTTAATATTCGGTTTAAAAAATTTTTTCTTATGAAATTCTCTGAATTAATTATTTTAAATTTTCAATCTATTTATAAATTGAAAAAATTATACTTCATTAATGTGTTCTTCTTATTGTTTTTAAAGTATTGATATATGTTCTAATAATGCAGTATTTTCTACTTTGACCTTTTAATTTTCAGTCTTTAAGATTTACTCTTACTATTCATGCTGTTAAATTTTTTTTGTAAGTTAAGTTATTTAACAAAGCAAGGAAGTATTCTGATTTAAATTTTTAGACATAATAAATTAAGGATAATTTTTTTATGAAGTTTGAGATTTATTTAAAAAGAAACTAATGAATACTATTATAAATACAAAAAAATATGGAACGTTAGTTAATGTTATAATTTATAGATGATAATTATAAGTTTGAGATATGTGTAATTATATATAAGATGATTATATATGATTATATATAATTATATATAATAATAATATAATTATTTATTAATAATTTAATATGAATATAATAATTATAATAATTAGATAATTAAATCGATAATTAATAATAATATAAATGTAAAAGGAGAGTGAAGAAAAGTTAATCAAGTAGTTATTTAAGGAGGTATATCCTTAGCCGATTCGCATTAGATACTGAACTACTATAAGAAGTTAATGGAGAATACAAGTGAGAGTGCTGATATACCATGTTAAGACAATATGGTTGAAGATGTGTAGGTTTGTTTCCGAATAATGTGCCAAATAGTGGATTCGTTTCTTTAAGGATACAATGATCTTAAGAACTAATATAAATTATTAGAGGATTAATTAATTTAAAAAGAGACAGAGGCTAGAAAACACATTCAAATTTAATAACAATTAAAAATATATGCAGAAGACTTGTAAGATACTTGTGAAGAGATGCAAAAACAATTAGAGAAATCTAATTCATAAATAATAGTATTGAAATTATTAATATAACGGAAGCAATTATCAAAAGAGATTGTTAGAATCAAAAAATAAATCAAAATTTCAAGTTAAGAGAGATTAATGACTGATACTACTTAAGATAGATTATCATCAATTGTGTCATAACAGAAATAGTAGGTTTAACCAAAAACTATGATTAAATTACCAAAAAAGAAGACATCTTTAAATTTGTAATTTAAATTTTATAATAGTGTAGAAAAAGTTCAATATCGATATTAGGATAGACAATAACAATAGATAGAATGTAGGAATTAGCTAGTATGTGTGGAAAGAAAAAACAAAAAAGTGCAATAAAGACAAGATCTAACACAATTCATATAACAGATTAAATGACTAAACCTGTTAAATAAAAAAGAATGCATTCAATCCATGATGTTTGAATACTGTTATAATTATAAATAAATTTTTAATTATTAATTCACAATAATAAAATTAAAAGAAAAACTAAGAAAGTTATAACAGCACATATTAGCATAATCCAAAGCTTTTTCTTTCCTGATTTTTATTAATTTTCAGTTTTTTCTAATTAATCTTGAGCCTTAACGACATTATCTTTTGTAGTATTAACATTTGTCTCTATTATATCAAAATTAATATCTTAATTCTCTACTTCTAATGCCAAATCTTAAACAATTTTATTAATAGTTTCAGTCTTCATTTAAATTTAATCAATTTCTTCTTAATTTTATTTAAGAATTTGATTGCTCCATTCTAAATGTTCATATTATTACAAAGGTTCCATTTCTGATTATTGCATTTAATACTTTTTATTATTGTTTTCTATCGTTGATTGTTTTACATTTATTTAAAATTTTAATACATAATTCTACACATCTTGTTTTGATGATAATTTCATCATTTTATCTATTTCTTTTAATGCATCTTTCAACGGTTCAAATCCACAGTCATTTACCATATTTTTGTACTATGACTATTATCTTTGTTAATGGCTTGCATATAAATCTCTTAATTTTTTAGTTTTATTTCTTTGTTCGACCCCTCGCGATTACTTTGAGTTATGGTTTAAAGTACTTGCTCCAATTTAATAATCTATTCTTTTATGTTCAATTAATGCAATTAAATTGTTTTTAATGTTAAAAACACTTAATTCACATTTTGTTAATCGATTTCGCTTTCTCCTAAAACTTATAATTCATCTACACTCTATTGATATTCAACTAGTTCTTATCGAATAACCTAAACATTAACATTCAAATTTACTTCATATAAATTATTAAAATTCATGTCATTGTTCAATAATGAACTATGCAGATCACTCATATATTTTAATAATTATTATTTCCATTCAATATATAATTTTATATTTCAATTAAAATAAATAAATTATAAAACTCTTTTTTCCATTCATCATATGTATGTATCCATCATTATTATTTTATTCACTTTAATACACATCTTACAAGTTTTAAAACTAACCACATCTATCTTTATACAAACTCATGCAGGATTAATAATTCATATAATATATTAGTGATGTTGCTTTTTCCCTATTTATAAGTACATTCTTATAGCATACTAAATATTGTACTCCCTTAATATAATTATTATAAGTATATAGATATATAAAATCATGGCTTTTTGGTGAAATTACCATTAATCTTAAGCTCTTATTCCATAAGTTGCAGAATCTTTACTTCTAAATTCTAGTTTTTCTTTATTTATTAATCATAACTCTATTTAATCTAATTAAATTCATCGCACTTTTTTGACAATTCCTTATCTTTTTTATTGATTATCAAATCTTATATTCTATTATATTATAAAATCTACTTAATTAATTGATTTTCCACTATAATTATTAAAAATCTGAAGTTATGTTGTTTTAAGGTATACCTTTTTCCAATTATTATTTGTAATTCTCTTTTTCTAATTAAATTTAATTTATTTATTATTCTAACTACCTAATATAATTATATTATTCATACTTAGTTTTTTAGTCATAATGCATAAAAATTTATTCATATTCTTTAACTTTATCATTTAAATTTGAAATTTATGTTTCGAACAATACTTTTTCTGCATTAGATAACATATAATGACTGTCTTCTTCAATTTTCCTTTATTCTAATCTCTCCTTCATTTCAGTAATTTCTTACCACAAAATTTAATATCTAGCACTAGCTTATTGAAGTTCATTTTATTATTATCCAATTTCTATTTTATAGGTATTCTAAGATATGTTGTATAAAATACTTCATTTTATTCTTTTTATGTTGTGATTATATTTATTTGTTCTTATAATTATTGGATAGTATTATTTAAAGATTATATAGTTTGATAGCTTTGGGTTTATTCTTATTTTATTTTTTTCATTTCATTCTCTAATTAATTTTGATAATTCATATATTCTTGATTTTTCTAAAAGTCTTTGAATTATTTTTCCAAATTTTCTATTTTTTAATTCATAAGATCATTTTCTTATTGTAATGCATCCTTTTGATTTAATAAACTTTATGATTTTAGTTCAAGAGTATTAACTGTATCTTTCAATTATGAAATAGTTTATTAATCTAATTGATAATGTTATAATTATTATTTGAGTTAATTATTACTAATTTAAAGTGTTAATAATTTAATTTCTGCTTATTCTAATTTATAACTTAATTCTCTTTAAGTTAATTTATTTTTATTATCATTAGGTTTAAGATTTTCTTTATCATTTAAGTTAAGTAAATCTTAATATTTTTTATCAATAATATAAACTTCATCTTTAAATTTTAGATTATCTTCTTGTAATTTATTAATTTGAGATTTTAGTTGAATATTTTCATCGTTAATTTAAGAAATTAAAATTTCTTGTTATTTAACATGTTTTTATAATTATTCAACATCTAGATTGGTTAATTGATTCTTATTAATATTATTTTCTTGAAATGAAAGATTTGATAGTAATGATATAGCAGATTTTAATACTTAAATAACTTAATCAACTTAACATTATACAAGTTTATCAAATTATTTTTTGAAATCTTCTAGATAAGAATGAGCAAATTTGAGATGTTCTTTAAGATTTTCTATGTTATTTTAATTACCTTTAGATAAGATTGTATTTTTTTTATCAATATTACTTTCTTGAGTATAATTTAAGGATGTATATAAACTATCTAGAAATCTACTAGGTAATGTTTTATTAGAGAGAAGACATGCAGTAGATCCAGATTATCCTTTAACTTAATAAAATGAATCTCTTTAAGTATTTTTTGATTATTAATCTTTGATAGGAGAGAGTTAATCAATAATACTCCTAAAGAAAAGAATTAAAAATTACATTCTCATTTTTTGACAATTGATAGCATTATTATTCTTATTTTAGCTGGATTGTCTAACTTAAAAGAAAGGATTAGGTTTTTATGTGAGTTGCATACTCATTTTACTGTTATAAATTTAAATTTTATTTAATGTTTAAATGAAATATAATTAAATCAAGCATGGCTAGCAATTCTTTAATTTCTTTCATGATTTTCATCATCAACTTAATTAAATCTGGACTCAACTAATTCTTCTAATTAAGCAACTAATTAGATTTCATTTCTTCTAGCTTAGGTAGCATAATTATATTCATTAGCAAAAGTTGAACATAAAGCTTAAGCTTAATCCCATAATTATTGATTTCTTTATTATTTACCTGATGCTTTTTAAGCAATAGCAGATTAAGATCCAATTTATTGATTCAAAGAATCTAATTTATTTTATAATCTTTCATTTTATGCTTCAAGTCTAGCAATAGTTTATCCTAATCTTTCTTTTTAATCATTGAAAGCAGCAACTGAGACAGCATTTGATTCAGCATAATCATTATATGCTTCTTAGATATTGGCTCTTAAGGTTTCTAAGAGTTAAGCAACTCTTTCAAGTGCTGATTCATCTAATTATCCTTCTGAAGTAGCTAATTATGAAAAAGCATAAAAGATTGGAGCAAATCTAGCAGTTTCTTTAATATTGAAGGCACTTTAGAGCATGATTTTAGCAACTCTATTGATTTCAATGAATGATCCAGATCCACTATAGATAGAAGCTAAAATATCTGAAGCTTCATCAATAGCATGAAGAGCATCTTCATAATCTCTTCCTCTTTTTTTAAAGTATCCAGCTTCACCTTCTGCAGAATTTTAAACTGAGGTCAAATGTTCTTAAGCTGAGAAATATTATTATTAGTTGACTTCTTATTAATTTGTTGCTCTAATCTTTGATGTTTATGCAACATTTAAGGCAGCTGTTGAATCTCTTAAGACATTACTTGCTTCTTAGACTTCAGCTCTACGGAATTCATTTTCAGAAGCACATTCAACTTATTAAATATTGTATATTTCATCATGATTTACCTATTCTGTATTCACTGCATCTCTGAAATCTCTTAAAACATTTAAAATTGCCTCAAGAGGGGATTTGTTCTTCAATTTTACTTCTACTTCAGCTAAAACAGCTGCTATTGATCTCTTTTTACTATAATCTAAATTGAATTTAGACGTAGCATTTGCTAATGCCAATATTACTAATAAACACAAGGTGATTCTCATTATTTTAATGATAAATTTCCATGGTGCTATTCAGTTTTAAAATGAAAAAATTGATCAAGAAAAACGGATTTAATTAAAACAGCATACTATGTTCAATAATCACAATTGTTAAGAACATTCTTAAACTTTTCTTATCCAATCAATCATAAGTAAATATTTCATATTTTTATTTTTACTATTATGATAAACATCCACACCTAAATTATGTATTTCATTCAATTTCATACTCATAGCTAACTATATTATCTAATCATTTCTAATCTCCAACAATATTATTTACTTCCATTATTCTTCACTATTAAAATTTTTAATATTTTTTATTCCTTATTTATTCCAACACTCAAACAATTACTTTCACATTCTATTTTCACAATCATAAACATTTCTCTTTATTTTCTCCTAATTCAATACCACATATCTATTTATCTATATTACTAAAAAAATTATCAATCTCTTAAACAAACTTAAAATACAGCCTTGCTTCAGCATAATTTAACCAAGAATTTATATTTATTGATGAGGTTTAAATTATCTTCATCAATTCTTTATATGTATAATAAATAAATTAATCATAACAAATATTATTCCTTTGATCTAAAAATTATAATATTAACACGTATTAACTAATTCATCTAATAATTCCTTATTTTATTTATTTCTTTTTTTAAATTGACTATACCTATTTTTTAAATTCATTAAATTTACATTGCTCTTCTACCTTATTAACATATCTAATCATACTCTAAAATCTTATACACCATTTATCAACAGCTTCATATACATATATTTCTTCTTTTATTTTCTCTTTATTTTTGCTTATTAACTTCGACTATTTTTCTTAAAAACTATGGTTTTTCTATTTTATTCTATTTCTTCTTTATTTTTTAAAATTAAACAATCTTTAATCTATTAAAAATCATATTATTTATCAAATAATTACTTCTTTTAAAATATCAAAACAATCTTTTTTCTTGATTATATTTATTTTGTTTATCTTTTAAGTTTTATTCATGCAATCTTATTATATCTAAATGGAATTACTTTTTTAATTTTATTGTTTTTTTGTTCAGAAAGAAAATCAATTGTGTCTCATGAATTTCTGAGGTTTTTTAATTCTTTTTAACTTTTTTTGCAATACAAATCAGTATATGCTACTTTTCTTGAATTTTGTTTGAATAATTTTTCTTTATAATCAAAATTTAAATTTTAGAGTTCATTTCATTACAATATTACAATTGGGCAATCAGAAATTTTCCACTCTAAACTTTACTTTTCATAATACATTTTAACTTAGAAATTAAATAATGATCATTTATTTTTTTGAAAAATTAAATTTTAAAAAATTATACGAAAATCAAAAAAATTATTCTAAAAAAAGAAAAAAGGTTAATAGAATTACATTTTTTCTAATAACCTGATCATGAACTTTCATCTGGGAATTTTGGATATTTAATAAAAATTTATACATAAATTAAAAAAATTATTCTAGCATTTCAAAATTAGATGATAACAATATATATGATTATTGCTAAAACAGTGAGAAGTGTGATTGTTTAATACAGAAATCAGTAATGTATTGATTGAAGTCAAATTTTAGATCTCAATAGAATCACAATCCAAAATTTTATTCTTTTTTGGTATTCGGGTTAATAATTTATTATTATATTAAATGGGATTTATATTTATTCATAAATTCATTTCTAACATTTCTCTCTTTAGTTTTTCAATTACTTTTTCTACTAAAGTTACTAATGTTTCTTCTGTCTTTTCTCTTTCTCCTCTAGTCTTTCTTAATTAATCTTAGATTCTATTAGAGATCTCTCTCAAACTTTCAACGATTTCTTCTTCCTTAATTTCTCTTTCTTTTTTTTCTCTATTAAAAATAAGAAGTATTTTACTTTTCAAATAATTATCTTAAATCATTCAACTATTCTACAAACTGGTGATAAATTTTTTCTTCTACATCTTTTCTTTCAGTAATTTCATTTTACAATTCATCTGCAATTTTTGGTAAATCTTCATTCAAATATGAATCAATATATTCATGAGATGTTGATTATGCCTAAATTAATAAACTTATTACCAATCCTTCTTTAATGACATCTTATTGCAAGGATTCAATTTACTATCCAATTGAATAAACAATCTTTTTTTCTTATTCTACTCTCTCTTTAGAATTTTATTCAATCAATCTTCTTGCATGTCTTTCTAAATCTGTTATTAATTTAAATGTTTCAGTTTCTTATCTTTCACGACTTAATTTATCATTATTGAAAATACTTTTCTTATTCTTATTCTAAAAATTCTGTTATTTGTCTGACTTTGGCAGCAATATAAACAAACTTCTCTTCTTTTTAATCTGACTAATGTTGTAATTGTGCCTCGAATGCCATAATCAATTAACTTATTGTATGAAAACGATTGTTCTTTCTAAAACTTCAAATAAATCAATACTCATCTTAAACACTAGTAGAAATATTGTTTAATTTTTCAAATATTGAAGAGACTCTGTTTTAGATATTCTCAGACATTTTTTTAATAATTTTTATTTGTATATAAAATAAGATAATTCACATCTATTTATATGTGCAAATAATTCAACAAAGCTCTAGTTTTAAAATGACTAGTATCATTTTTATTTGACACTTTTTATATATATTTAATTAATAAAAAAATTCGTTAATGTTGACAGATAAATCAAATTCTTTTGAAAATAAACCAAATGATCATAGTTGCATAGATGAACATCTATAATAATTTTAAAAAACCTCTTAGTTCACAAATATTGATGATAATAGCACAAATTACAATGATCAAGAAATTATTGAATAGAGTGTTATTTTAAGTAAGGATCCAGAAATTTAGAAATCTATTTGTTTATAAGAAAATGAAATTCTAAGATTGTCATAGGCCTATGCAGATAAATATTACTACGAAATGAAATTTGAACAGTATCAAAATCTGTTAGCATAATAATAATGTACAATTTCTAAATTATTGAACGAAAAGAAAGATTTGCAATAAAAATTAGAGAAAATAGTTATATAACATAATTATTAAGATAATTATGATTCATTATAATAGAATCAACAATTAGAATAAAAATTAGAAGAGCTTTAAATATTGAATGAAAATTTAACAAAGTAAAATGAATTGTAAGATAAATAATTAGATGAAACAAAAAGATTGTTGCAGAAAATAAATAAAGAATAAGAATTATTGTAATAACAGTTTTAAGAATACAAACTATAAGTATATATTAAGGAATAAGAATAACAATAATTGATTACATAGTTATAAAGCAAGGGTTCCTAAGAATCAAAGATATCAATTTATTAGGAATTATAACATTAAATGAATGAAATTAAAGAACAAAATAATTATTTATTTGAATAATTAAGTAAGAAAGAATAAGAAATAGAGTAATATTTTTAAAAATAATTGTCAAATATTGTGGAATAGTTTACTTAAGAAAAATAAGATATTTAGGAAGAATTTGATTAATAATTGGAAAATAAAGATGAAATAATTCATTAATTAGAAATCTAATTAAATGAAGTGCATAATTAAGCACAATAATTATACTCTGAGAATTTACAATTATAAAATTAATTAGATTTATTAGGATAGAAGTATAAATATTTAATTTATCTCTTTTAGTTATTAAGAAGATATTCAATAATAGGCTAATGTGTTATAATAATAAGTGGCAGAATATAAAATAATAATAAATAATTTAGAAAATTAGATATTTGAAATGAATGCTGAGATTTAAAGAAGAGGGAGATCAAATGGAAAAGAGAATGCATAGAGAGTCTTATAAGGAATACATAAAAATAATTAATAAAGATTAAGCACAGGAGAGATGACATTTTCGAATATAACTCCTAGTTCTAAATCTTTTTAATACTAAAATTCAAAGAATTGATAAATACTATTAATAATAAATAAATATATAAATAATTCATATAAGACAAAATGTAAATTTCCTATCACCCATATTATATATTGAACCAAAATAATGGAAAAAAACACCTAAAAAGACAAAACAATGCCACCATTAATGGCTATGTCCCTAATGATATAAATATAATAATAATTACAAAGATATCAAATTTGCCTGGTAGAAATCTCTCTGGAATTCTTAAAGTATATAAAGCTAATCCAAATAAATAACTTGATCCCATCAAAATATAAAAGAGAAATGAATGTTTAAAAGGTAAATAATCTGAAATTTCTTCTCTGTAAAATCTATTAATAATATAAATATTTAATACTCTCTTAAATATAGATGAACAGCTGGAACACCTGCAAATAATCCTAAAGATCCATACATAAGTCCTTTGATTTTTCTCCATTTTTCAGTATGAATAAAATCAAAAATGGATACAATATAAGCTGCCAAACAAGCTGATCCAACTGTAACTAAATAAAAATATCTCAAAAATGTATCACAATAAAATCCATAATAAAATGGAGGAAAACAAGAACCCAATATTAGTAGAGAGATACCTCCATAATCAACTCTCATAAGATATTTATTAGCAGCTTCACTCATTTAATAAAAAAGATGGAATAATGCTGATCCACTCATACACATTAATCCACTAACTAAAAATACTACAATTGGCCATCTTGAAACATGATAAGGATCATTATTATTTCTTAAGAATTACTCTTATTTTAAAATGGAAGTGTGAGAGTAATCATGCTTATAGATCTCAACCCAATCGAATTATTCACTGTCAATCTTATTAATATTAAATAACAATTACTTCTTAGATTATTTTATCCTTAAATAAATTAAATTTATTTTAGAATATGATTGCGTACTCTGCTACTTCTTCGAAATTCAGTATTTCTACTGTAATCTTCATTAAATGAACTATCTCTCTGTATGTCTCAGAAGTAAGCATAGAGTTTTGAAAATGATCTATTTTATTAAAAATTTCTTCATATTTTTATTAATCAGCTTGAAAGTTCTCATTGCTTATTGAATTTGAGTTTAGTGTTTAATTAAAACTAAATATTTGATCAATGTCTTATTCTATTCTTTGTTTGTGATCATAGTGATAACTAACAATATAAATTATTAATAGGAATGTTAGAAATGATCCTATTACATGGGTCCAAACATTTATAAGTTCATTATGTTTCTAGAATAGCGACTTTAATATAAGCCAAGGTGTAAAATAGTTGATTCTATACCCACTGAAAATGTAAACGTTGTCAACTGTATAGTGTTTAGCTGCTTATTAGATTGTTCCAATATAATGTTTTGTTTTGTTTGAAATTACTTCCATCTAGGTTATTATTTCAATAAAATATTTAATATAAGCCATCATTTTATACAAGAATGCTTTTTAAATTGTTAAAATACGTAATCATAATAAAACATATGCAATATTTTAATAAATTATTCATATATAATTATTATAATGTTAATTAGTTTATAGTGCTTTTAAACCAATAATAAAATAAATAATTCACTTAAGAAACTCTAAATAGGAAAAGTCTACTAAGACCGCAATTCATCCAATAAATTAAATTTCTACGTGATTTTTTCACTCTTCTACTGATATTCTCTAATTAATCAAAATAACTTTACCACATTCAGAATCTATTCCCATCTTCTTTTACTAATAAACTCTTACTAACCCTCAAATTTCATATTACCAAGATTATCAAGATTCATATTTTCTTTTTTAACTGCTATAAAATTAATATTTCATCTTAAAAACCAAAAATAGTTCAAAAATTAGCCTAAATGAATCTTTTCATACTAACCATTTCATCATAAATTTATTAATAATTTATAAAACAAAATGAGACTGGAGAATTGTTCTACTATTTGTATTTGAAAGATGAGATTTTTTATAGTCAAATTAATTCTTAAATCAGATATTTATCCCATTCCCAATTTTAAACTTCAATACTATTGAGAAAAATATAGTTAAATTAAAAGTCACTACCTAAATACTCAGTTTTAAATATAGAAAGCTTTCCTATTTATTAAGATGAACCCAAAATAGAAAATTTTGCCATATCATGTTTTTATGCATAGCTTAGTTTATTAAAAAGAAACCAATTAATAAAGGGAAATCTATTCCTAATAAGAAAAACAATTAATCCTTTAATAAAAGATGAATTTAATCAATTAAATTACAATTTTAACCTCTCAAGAAATGTAAACAAAGACAAATAAAAGAATTACATGAAATTAAAATTTTATTAAAACTGAAATAAAAGCTAGATGCTTTGCTTAATAAAACAATAGCTGTTCTTCTTCACCTAAAAAATATTAATTTGATTTTGAATAATTGCACTATAAATGTTTATATTCCGAGTTAAACCTATTCTCTAAATATAAATTTAAGAATCTTGATTTTATTTTTTGTATCTTGTGGAGAAAGCTGATTATATTGCATTCTGTTTGAAAAAGATTTTAATAAATGTATCAAAATTATGGATTTTATCCAAAAATAATTGAGCTTTGTATGAATTGAGATTGAAATTGAGGCATCATGAAGATCATTGCATTTTTTGAAAAAAGATTAGATATCAGATGCCCAGAATAAACTATGTTTAATCTGTTATATCAACCAAAATTTGCTACTTAAATTAACCAATAAGGCTTCATTGATCCAAAAAAATCATATTTAAAAATCATTGAAAATCAATTATATAACAAACATAAACAATAAATTAATCAAAATCATACAATTTCTTAATAATAACTTGGCTTTTTTGATTTTCTTTTACTTTATGATAAAATATATAAATAGATCTTATTTCTTATTTCCTTTGATTCCAATTCCCCTGGAATATCATAAAATGGAATCTATTTAAACAATTTAGTATTATTTTGCAATAATTCTTTAATATGTTCTTTGTATTATTCTGAATTTGGAAAACATACAATTATATCAACACTTTATATAATATCTAAATTGAGACATTATTTGAATAAACTAAGAATACCAGGTGTATCATAAAAATTCAACCCATGAGCATCATTTAATTTTACTAGGTGCTTTTCTAATTCTAAAAATTAAATATTAAATTACTAATCGTTGGTCCTAAAGTCTTTTCCGTTACCACCCTTGTTTTTCCAGATCCAGATGGACCTAATAACAAAACATTAAACTCTGTTAATTCATTTCCTTAAAAACAAGAAATCTAACCCATTAATTCAATTATTTAATTTAATTTCTCTTGTCTCTTTTGTAAAAAATTATACAAATATTAAATAAATATATATCATTTTANTTATGCATAGCTTAGTTTATTAAAAAGAAACCAATTAATAAAGGGAAATCTATTCCTAATAAGAAAAACAATTAATCCTTTAATAAAAGATGAATTTAATCAATTAAATTACAATTTTAACCTCTCAAGAAATGTAAACAAAGACAAATAAAAGAATTACATGAAATTAAAATTTTATTAAAACTGAAATAAAAGCTAGATGCTTTGCTTAATAAAACAATAGCTGTTCTTCTTCACCTAAAAAATATTAATTTGATTTTGAATAATTGCACTATAAATGTTTATATTCCGAGTTAAACCTATTCTCTAAATATAAATTTAAGAATCTTGATTTTATTTTTTGTATCTTGTGGAGAAAGCTGATTATATTGCATTCTGTTTGAAAAAGATTTTAATAAATGTATCAAAATTATGGATTTTATCCAAAAATAATTGAGCTTTGTATGAATTGAGATTGAAATTGAGGCATCATGAAGATCATTGCATTTTTTGAAAAAAGATTAGATATCAGATGCCCAGAATAAACTATGTTTAATCTGTTATATCAACCAAAATTTGCTACTTAAATTAACCAATAAGGCTTCATTGATCCAAAAAAATCATATTTAAAAATCATTGAAAATCAATTATATAACAAACATAAACAATAAATTAATCAAAATCATACAATTTCTTAATAATAACTTGGCTTTTTTGATTTTCTTTTACTTTATGATAAAATATATAAATAGATCTTATTTCTTATTTCCTTTGATTCCAATTCCCCTGGAATATCATAAAATGGAATCTATTTAAACAATTTAGTATTATTTTGCAATAATTCTTTAATATGTTCTTTGTATTATTCTGAATTTGGAAAACATACAATTATATCAACACTTTATATAATATCTAAATTGAGACATTATTTGAATAAACTAAGAATACCAGGTGTATCATAAAAATTCAACCCATGAGCATCATTTAATTTTACTAGGTGCTTTTCTAATTCTAAAAATTAAATATTAAATTACTAATCGTTGGTCCTAAAGTCTTTTCCGTTACCACCCTTGTTTTTCCAGATCCAGATGGACCTAATAACAAAACATTAAACTCTGTTAATTCATTTCCTTAAAAACAAGAAATCTAACCCATTAATTCAATTATTTAATTTAATTTCTCTTGTCTCTTTTGTAAAAAATTATACAAATATTAAATAAATATATATCATTTTATAAATAAGCATTTATAAACTAGATTTAAAATAAAAATAGATTTGAAATAAAAATTGATGTAAGTCTTAAAGAGATAAGTCTAAGAATTCATTAATAGATCCTAATTACATAATCAGCTTAATATAATATTTTTGAATTAGTGATGATTCATTTGATCGATTAAATTTTGATAGCTTTTATTTTCATATCGTTAATGAAACTAAGTAAAAAGATACTCATATAGAATGTAAAAATCTAAAAAAATATTAGATTAGATGTGAAGAAATAATTATGAATAAACTAAATATGTTTAAAATTAATTTATTTTTGGATACATAAATTTTATTTAATAGCAACCTAGATATTGAGAAATCAAATCGATTTTTTTTGAAAGAGCAAGTATTATGATTAATTTGAAATTTAGTTTAAGTAATTCTTCTATTCAAATGGATTTTGTTAAATAAAAAGTCTATCTTAAATATAATTATTTTCTAACTGACAATATTTCGAGTAAATTTCAAATTACTAAAAAAATATATAAAATGATTAAGAGTTTAATTAATAAATTAATTGATAAAAATTTATAATTAATCATTCATTAATAAATTATAATCATCATTAATTTTTTAGATCTGAAATTGATTTGATTTGAGCAGTTGTGTATTTACCAATCATATCAGATACATGTACAACTATTGGCTCAGTATCTATGATATCTTCTTGAATTTATGTTTGAATAGAATTGTTATTTAAAAGATGTTTATCAACTGGAATATCTAAAGTTTCAGAATTTCCTAGTTGATTAAGAGATTAAATTGGAGAATAATTCAAAAATTGATTCACACTAGGAGATAAAGAAGTTGTTTGTAACATTTTTATAAACAACCCTTTTATAAAAGAATAATCGGGCATTTAATCATATTTGAGTTCATCGATGTATTACATAAACTACGAGAATTCAATAGGAAATGTTGAACACAATGTCATTGTATTAAAGAGGGAAGTTTTCATGTCTCCAATAAATTTAATATCCATATTCTTAAATCCCATAGAAGGTTTTTAAGACCAAGGCAATTTACCTAATGTAAATATACATAAATACAATTTTTTAAATAGATTAAGACATAGAATAGACTTTCCAAATCATCCTTATAACCTAATTATTCACCTTTATGAGATGCTCTGCTGGCAAAGTTTAACGAACCAATAAATACATTTTTTAAGAATTTTGAATTTCCTATAGACTAAGATAAGCCAAAATCTATAAGTTAAATAACTCCAGGCTATAGAAGTTTATCCTATGAATTTTTTTGTATTTTTTATGATATCATGATATTTTCTGGTTTAATATCTAGATGTAAGATGTTTTTCCTATGTATTTTTTCTAAAGTTTCAATAAGACTTAATCCAATAGCCAATGTACAAGATAAGGATATTTGTTAAGATTTTGTCAAATCCCGTAAGCTACAATGTAAGAGTGGCAGAATAAGATAGCTCCTAAATTGATAAATAGTTCATACTTTTTTTCTAGAGTTATTCCATGATGTATTAATTTAGGGATTCCTTCTATTTCATCTAATTCCTTAAGGACTTTAATTTCACTATCTATTTAGCCAGACATTGGATATTTTTCCATTTTAATTGCAAATAATGTTTAACTTAAATTATGCTCTGCTTTAAACACTTAATGAGCTGAACCTTGTCCAATCATTGACAGCACTTGGTATTTTGAAGTTTAAAGATACATTAGAGAAGCTATTTTTAATTATAGAATTCATGAGGAACAATGTTCTTATTGAATATAAAATTTGAAGGGGATCAAGATTAATATATTTAAAGATCTTTATGATTTTCATGTCAATAACTGATAACTATTAGATTATTATATTCTATATTACATCGTTATTTTCCTTTACCCATTAGTTTTGTTATATTACAAACATGAGACATTTTCTTTATACAATTATTTATCGAATTTAAAACTTTATACTTTTGTTAGTTACTTACTTTAAAAATATTATTATCACCATTTTTAAATTCAATATCAGAAAATCTCTTATAAGTATCGAATAGAACTTAATTCTTTTTAGAAAAAATTAACTCTAAATGCAAGAAATATGACAACTTTATATTTAAAAATATTTTTGTTACAATAATATTGCTGAGAAGTGATTTCATTTAATATTCACTTTTAAATAGCAAGTAAACCAAAAATGCTTGAAAATCAGATAAAAAAAGAGTTAACAACTTCATTTTATAAAATATAACAAAATGACCACAAAATTTAATTTAATTAAGTGGCTCAAATTTATAAATAAGTTTACAAATCAAATAAAAAAGAGAATTTAGAGTCTTCTTATCAAGTTCTATTTTCTTTAGCTTCAAATTAAGTTTGCAAATAGATACTGTAAAATTATTTAATTTATTCAGTTCTAAATTATTTTACTGTTGCTGATATGTCTAATTAGCAAACAACTTTAAAATATCTTATCCTAAGTTGATAATTTTTTTAATAAATTCAAGATAGCTTAAAGGCCATCAAAAATTGAAAATTTTAAAGTCTATTTGATATTGAACTACTATCTAAAAAGAGAGCTGATATATATTAATTGTTTTAAATCACCAAATAATTTATTATTAATAATAATTTTAAGATATATAGTGAATCACTATTACTTCAATATTATTATCTTAAGGATAAGAATGTGCACAATAGTTTTAAATTAGATTGATCAAAAAGACTTTTGTATTCTTTTTTCATTGAGAAATTCGACAAAAAATGTAAAAAAATTTAAAAAAAAGTGCTAAAAGCATGACACTATCATAATAAAATTTTAAATTAGAAGGTTTATAAAAATTACTTTTGATTAGACCACTTAGTTGGAATTGGTAAATAATAATAATCTTCAGATCAATAAATAATTAAATTAAAATTATCAGGAAAGTTGATAACTAATCAACTTATAATATAAACGTCTAAATAAAACCGGTAATTTAACATAGACATTCTTTAATATAGTACCTTTTTAAAATATCTATAAATAATAACTTTAAAACTTTAAAATAATGGTAATAATAACTTTTAGAGATAAATTAAAATTGATAATTGAGTATTTTGATATTTGTTAATTATTCTTCATTTTCCATTTTTCTAATTCTTCTAAATAATATTCTTAAGGTATTTAATTCCATCCATGTGTATAATTTATATATACAGTTATAATTTCTCTAATTCTTCTAGATTTCTAAATCCAAATTATTATTATTTATTCTCTCTTGTTGATAAAATCTTAAAATTTTTCCAATAATTCTTTTTATCATAATATGCAATTGTCTTTATTAGTAATCACCTTAGTTTCCAAAAAAAGGTAGTTGACCAAATAACTCTTTCATTATGTTAAAATTATCATTTCTATGTGCATTACATATAATTCTTAGTGATTTTCTCCATAAAAAATCCTATTTTTATATATTTGAATTTCTTTACATCTATAGTAAAGGGAAAATTCTTCAATTCATTTAATTTCTACAATTTAATAAATTTAAAAAGAATTTATTATATAAATTAATAATCTTTAAATATAGGAAGAAAAAGGAAAAGCTTAAAAACTAAATGAATTATAATCATGATATCAATATGCAAGATTAAATACAAAATCTAAACATAAATAAAATAATATTTAGTCCAGATTCATCAACTTTAATTGCAGGGTGTTCAAATAAAATAATAAAAGTATTCGAGTTTATAAATGAATAATTATAATTAATTGAAATCTTAAAATAACATAAAAGTTAAGTAAATTGTTTGTTATTTCTAAAAAAATAAAAAGAATTTGTATCTGGTAGTAAAGATTAAAAAATTATATTTATTTAATTAAATGCTAAAAGATGGATAAATCTATCATAATGTTCAATTAAACTTTAACATATTAGACTATTTTGTACTATTAGTGATGATGAAAAATATCAAATCATATTGAATTATAATACTAAATAATTATAAATCAGAAAACTAAGAAATTGAATAAAAATTTTATTAAATAACAATACTATTTTAAATATTTTGTTTTTTCATTTTTTAAAAAATCATTGATAATTTTATTTATTCCTTATAATTGATATTTCAATTAAGTATTTATATTTTGCAAATTATATTAAATCCTTTTATGTAAATTTTATCACAAATAATTTCAACAATTCTTTTCTTTAGTACTTTAACAATAGCTCAAGATTTAATTTCTTTAGGTAATTAATGCAGTTGTTAATAATTGACTTCATAAATTGAATGTTAATATTTTATCAGATGCCAATTCATTGATTAAGTTTGTTCTTAAAAATCTTGTGATTAGATGAATTTTTAAGCTTGTTAAACTACGGATTGTGCTTGGAACAAAGGAAAATGTTCTAAATTTACAAAATGCTAAGATTATGAAGTAACCAATGAACAAGATTGTTTAAACCTTAGAAATTCCTGCATTTATAATAATTTAACAAAAAGTTGTACACCATAGGAACCTTTAAGTAAAAAATGTTCTGAGTAGGAATAGAATAATTGTTATTATGGAATTGATGGTAAATGTATTTATAAGGATAATAAATGTTAAATATGGATAGATTGTGAAGATGCAGAATATGGACATTGTGCATATGGAAATAATCATTGTTTTTGGAATACAGAAAATGATAAATGTTTATCTGTCCAATCATGTGAATAGATTGAAGAATAATTATGCCTTTTTGCTTTTCCTGATATAAATAAAATTGATGCTTATATATGTCAATATGATAAGAATGGGAAATGTTAAAACTTTAATCCATCTAACTAAAATCTAGAAACTTGTATTGCTCAATCTTATGGATATTATTAATGGATTAATGGAAAATGCACATCTTGTTAATCAAGTGATTATGATGTCATCACATCAGCATTATTTTTAACTATTCTTTTGATTTATTGATAAATTAGATAATAAATATTATATTATAATTAATTTATATTTTATTTTTAAACTATTAACTACTAATTCACTTTATATCAATGTTTAAATTATATTATTACATTTCTTTAATTATATTCTTTCACATTCTTAAATTTTATGATTAATAAATCAAACATAATTAGTTTATTATCTTTTATAAAATGTTAAAATTATTAATAACAAATATAATATCAATTTATTCTATCGTATATGTATAGATTATTCCAAGAAAAAACTTTTATCTTTTTATCTTCTACTTATATATCTTAAACTTCTTCAATTTCACTCATTCTAAACTCAAATGTAATTTTACCAGTTGAAATTTCATAAAAAGACAATGAAGAAGATATTACGAATCTTTCATCTTATGATAAAAAGTAAGAATATTGTTGATTTTATTCTGTAGAATAAATTCTTCTTATCTTTTTTTTTGAATTTGATATCAACTCATAATATAAAAAATTCATTCTAGACCCTTTTGAAAATTAAAGTTTAAATTTTTTAGTTATTTATACCTTTTAGGTAATTATACTTCCATGAGAATTTTTCATTATGTTTTTCCACTTTTTTTCAATCTAATCATAAAATGTGAACCCTTCAATAAATTTAATTTCATTAGAAAATAATTTATAAATTTTAAAATCTTTATGAACTAATGATTATAATTCTAAATATTTAATAGTTCTTAAATTTTAATCATAAAGCAATAAACAATTTTAATTATTATATTAGATGCATTCAATAAAAGAAATTTATTAATCTAAAATAATTGATGTTGTTTTTTCCTTCATATTATACACTAATTAACAATTAGGCTTATTATATGCAAGTATCAAATAATTTTCATCTTTTGTAAATTAGAAAAATTATACATTATTATTTACATAATCTACCTTAATGATGTCAAATTTAACATCAGTTCTGATATTATATATTATAATTTAATAAGACATTAAAATTGCAATAAAATTCTGAGAAATTGTATTTTAGTATATAAAATCTGATTATGGGTGAAATTTCTTTAAATTAATGACTTTTGGTAGTAAATTAATATATTATCTATATGGATTTATTTTTATTTATGATGTCTTAATATTTTAGATAAATTTATTTATATAAGCTTTGTTAATGTTTTAGTAGTGATCTTTTCCAAAATGATTTAAAGCATACTAAGTGCTAAAGAATAAATGGGATTCGATTTCTAAAATACAGATATTAATTTTCCACAGATTATCTTTTTTTAATGATTTATAATCAAAGGCTTCTTTCATTAGATAAAAGATTCTAAGTTAATGATAGGGCTTTTCTTCTTAAAATTACAAATCATTTTAAAAACAAGACAAAATTTAATCTAAAAATTAGAAAACATCTTCTAAGATTTTAATTAAATCTAAAGAGTATTGGTAATTGATATTATGTTTTGTTTATAAAAAGCATTGCTCACATAAAATAGATCCTATATTAAGTTATACATCACGAACAAAAACTAAATTCTATATTTTATGATCATCTATTTTATGATTATTATTTAATTCTTTTATTAGGAAGTTTTATAACATTATTGTTCTCTTGTCTTTACGATCTTTTTTTTGCCTTTCTATTAAAGTGAGAAATTTACATTTTAATTTATCCCAAAGCGAGTACATTTNAAGTTTAAATTTTTTAGTTATTTATACCTTTTAGGTAATTATACTTCCATGAGAATTTTTCATTATGTTTTTCCACTTTTTTTCAATCTAATCATAAAATGTGAACCCTTCAATAAATTTAATTTCATTAGAAAATAATTTATAAATTTTAAAATCTTTATGAACTAATGATTATAATTCTAAATATTTAATAGTTCTTAAATTTTAATCATAAAGCAATAAACAATTTTAATTATTATATTAGATGCATTCAATAAAAGAAATTTATTAATCTAAAATAATTGATGTTGTTTTTTCCTTCATATTATACACTAATTAACAATTAGGCTTATTATATGCAAGTATCAAATAATTTTCATCTTTTGTAAATTAGAAAAATTATACATTATTATTTACATAATCTACCTTAATGATGTCAAATTTAACATCAGTTCTGATATTATATATTATAATTTAATAAGACATTAAAATTGCAATAAAATTCTGAGAAATTGTATTTTAGTATATAAAATCTGATTATGGGTGAAATTTCTTTAAATTAATGACTTTTGGTAGTAAATTAATATATTATCTATATGGATTTATTTTTATTTATGATGTCTTAATATTTTAGATAAATTTATTTATATAAGCTTTGTTAATGTTTTAGTAGTGATCTTTTCCAAAATGATTTAAAGCATACTAAGTGCTAAAGAATAAATGGGATTCGATTTCTAAAATACAGATATTAATTTTCCACAGATTATCTTTTTTTAATGATTTATAATCAAAGGCTTCTTTCATTAGATAAAAGATTCTAAGTTAATGATAGGGCTTTTCTTCTTAAAATTACAAATCATTTTAAAAACAAGACAAAATTTAATCTAAAAATTAGAAAACATCTTCTAAGATTTTAATTAAATCTAAAGAGTATTGGTAATTGATATTATGTTTTGTTTATAAAAAGCATTGCTCACATAAAATAGATCCTATATTAAGTTATACATCACGAACAAAAACTAAATTCTATATTTTATGATCATCTATTTTATGATTATTATTTAATTCTTTTATTAGGAAGTTTTATAACATTATTGTTCTCTTGTCTTTACGATCTTTTTTTTGCCTTTCTATTAAAGTGAGAAATTTACATTTTAATTTATCCCAAAGCGAGTACATTTAATTCATATTTTTATTATTTTTTTTATTTTCGTTGCATTAACATTTCTCCATTTATAAAATAGAATTTATACGTTAATATAAATTTAAATTTTTCATTAAAAAAACATATATTTAGATTTAGTTTTAATTATTATCAAATTAAAGATTTAGCAAATAATTATACTAAATAATCATATAAAATATATTTTAATAATGTTGAAGCTAAAAATTGTGAAGTAATTGTACATATAAAATGATTTTTTAACAAAATATTCGATTAGAATTTTTAGTAATTTGACGAAAAAGAATATTATATGTAAACTTAATCAAAAATTAAGCCAATATATGTAAGTCGAATCAAAATTATTTTTACTAGTTTAAGATTATTTTAAATGATAAAATTGAAAATGACATCTTTTGTTAAATAGCATAATTCTTTTTGTTTCTGTGATCATCTGATATAAATTGATATTAGACTAAATTGTAAAATAGAGAAGCTTAAAAGTTTAAATTTGTAGCATAAATTCCAATTAATTGTTAAAGAATTATCATGGAATAAAATTATAATTATTTTTGATGACATGGTATAAGTACTATCCAATTTAAATTTACAAAAATACTCTTGAAAACATTCAAAATAAAGATTAAAAATATATTTTATTTGAAAATTAAGAACATATGATTTATAATTAATAAAATGATTTTTAAAGTTTAATGATCGAATGTGTAATAATTTACTGTAAGATGATGTTTAATGAATTTTTTAATAATTATTCTAAATATACAGTTCAATAAGACAGATAGTATGCAATTATGAGTATAATTTATAAATAATAATAAAAGGGAATATAAGATTATAACTTTTGTAATAAGATACTAAATAAATATTTTCAAATTTTTAACTATACCTATACAGTTTATAAAATAAATAATTAAGAACTTAATATATTTTAAAAAATACTCTATGATGAGAATTATATGAGATTTAATTTAAGTTAGAATGATAATAAAAAATTTAACTCATTATTATTATTATCTAATTTATATAACTTATAATTGCATTATTTAAATTTCTTCTGATTTATAATCCCATGTTACTAAATATTATCCATTATTGCTAATTGATCCATAAAGATATCCCCATCCATCTGTTGTTCCAAAATCTATTACTTGTTCCAAGATAAATTCTAAATCAAGTTATTCATCATTTTAAATATTGGTTCTTATTATATTTACTTTACAACCATTTTTATTAATTAAGAGTTATTTTTAATTTATATAAATTGAAGGAAAGTAAGGTTTACAATAATAATCACCTCCTTATACATTTATCTCTTTTGATTTTATATATACCTAATTACTATTTAGTTGATATATATGCAATTACTTACTAGATATAGGCTAGAAACAAAATAAATTGTTATTAATAAAGCAAATCCTATATCCATATTCCATAACATTAATTTTTTGTTTTACTATCCAAATTTCATTATTATATTCTATAATCAATATTATTCTATCTTCTCCAGAAGATATAATAGTATCTTGACATTAATTTATTGATAATGCCCAAATTTCAGAGGAATGATTTTGAATTGTTTGAGAACAAGTTAAATTTTACTTAGGATTTGAAATACTCCAAATTTTTATTGATTTATCTGCACTACCAGATACAATTTAATATTTAGTTTCTAAAATTGATAAACAATTAATTTTATCTTAATGTCCATACAATCTTTAAAAATAATTCCAAAATTAATTTTAGGATTTTTAACCTGATTATTACCAAAGTATTATTGTTTTATCATCTGAGGCTGAAATGAGACATTAATTTGAATTTAATAATTAACAATTACATAACTTTAAATCTGTTATATAATTAGTATGATGATTTAGAATTTATAATTGTTTAAGGTTTCCTTCATTAAAAACAAAAACTTTTATAGCTGTTTTAAATCCTATAAAAAACTAAGAGCAATCATCATTTATAGCAATAGCTTAACACCATTCACGTTATTTTTTTGATGCTATTTTAATAAACTTCAATTAATCTCCATTATTCTTCTATTAATTCATTAAAAATATTTTTTTGTTATACCTCAAATACGTTTAAGAATTTATTTGTATTTTTTAAATAAAATTGTATTGGTTTGATGTTTCTTTAAGTTTGAAGAATTTAAATACGACTTATTAAACTAAATTTCATAACTATTAGCAATATTCTTTTTATTCATTCTCTTCAAAATATCAGCAAATAAGATATCTATTAAATCATATGAAATCCTTTATAAATAGTAAATTTAAATCTGCAGTTATAAAATTTTAACTTAAATTATGAATTATATAAAAAAGAAAAGAAATTGAAGGATTTAAAATAGTTGATAACGAAAAGAAATGGTTATAATTTAATCAGATATTTAAGTTAAATAATTTTTTATTAAGACTGTTCAGGATCTAGTAATTATACAGGTATATTTGTAAATATTAATTGAATTAGAAGTTTATTTTTTCTATATAGAAGTGCAAAATCATAAACTCACGAAGATATACTGAAATAAATTATTTGATAAACGGAAATATCATCAATGCCTCATAAGAAATTTAAGAGTTCTTATGTGAATTAAATTTTAATGATGAATATGATATAAATAAGTTGCTAATCATATTTTCAAGAGTTAACATAATTGTTCACAAAGGATAAAAATATGATCAGATTGATATAATGAAAAACGATCAATATTTAAATAAGTCAAATCTAAATTGTTATTCTTTGTTTCTAAATCAACTTAAAGGATTTTCTAAAAATTATTTTATGCGAAATTAGTTTTATGAAAAAAAAATATAATATAAATAATTCATTTAAATATTAAATTGATTAATTACAGGTTTTGACTGGAAAGTAAACTTCATTTAATTAGTCATATAAATCTATAGATCAAATTGATTAATGTAAAAGAGGTTAGTAAATTTTCAAATATATCATATTTAAGATAAATATTTCAAATACAATTATATTATTTAAATTGATGATTTTTTCGTATTGTTATAAAATCAATATTAAAAAATGTAATTTTATAAATTCGTATTAAGAAATCGAATCTATAGATATTNTAAAATTGATAAACAATTAATTTTATCTTAATGTCCATACAATCTTTAAAAATAATTCCAAAATTAATTTTAGGATTTTTAACCTGATTATTACCAAAGTATTATTGTTTTATCATCTGAGGCTGAAATGAGACATTAATTTGAATTTAATAATTAACAATTACATAACTTTAAATCTGTTATATAATTAGTATGATGATTTAGAATTTATAATTGTTTAAGGTTTCCTTCATTAAAAACAAAAACTTTTATAGCTGTTTTAAATCCTATAAAAAACTAAGAGCAATCATCATTTATAGCAATAGCTTAACACCATTCACGTTATTTTTTTGATGCTATTTTAATAAACTTCAATTAATCTCCATTATTCTTCTATTAATTCATTAAAAATATTTTTTTGTTATACCTCAAATACGTTTAAGAATTTATTTGTATTTTTTAAATAAAATTGTATTGGTTTGATGTTTCTTTAAGTTTGAAGAATTTAAATACGACTTATTAAACTAAATTTCATAACTATTAGCAATATTCTTTTTATTCATTCTCTTCAAAATATCAGCAAATAAGATATCTATTAAATCATATGAAATCCTTTATAAATAGTAAATTTAAATCTGCAGTTATAAAATTTTAACTTAAATTATGAATTATATAAAAAAGAAAAGAAATTGAAGGATTTAAAATAGTTGATAACGAAAAGAAATGGTTATAATTTAATCAGATATTTAAGTTAAATAATTTTTTATTAAGACTGTTCAGGATCTAGTAATTATACAGGTATATTTGTAAATATTAATTGAATTAGAAGTTTATTTTTTCTATATAGAAGTGCAAAATCATAAACTCACGAAGATATACTGAAATAAATTATTTGATAAACGGAAATATCATCAATGCCTCATAAGAAATTTAAGAGTTCTTATGTGAATTAAATTTTAATGATGAATATGATATAAATAAGTTGCTAATCATATTTTCAAGAGTTAACATAATTGTTCACAAAGGATAAAAATATGATCAGATTGATATAATGAAAAACGATCAATATTTAAATAAGTCAAATCTAAATTGTTATTCTTTGTTTCTAAATCAACTTAAAGGATTTTCTAAAAATTATTTTATGCGAAATTAGTTTTATGAAAAAAAAATATAATATAAATAATTCATTTAAATATTAAATTGATTAATTACAGGTTTTGACTGGAAAGTAAACTTCATTTAATTAGTCATATAAATCTATAGATCAAATTGATTAATGTAAAAGAGGTTAGTAAATTTTCAAATATATCATATTTAAGATAAATATTTCAAATACAATTATATTATTTAAATTGATGATTTTTTCGTATTGTTATAAAATCAATATTAAAAAATGTAATTTTATAAATTCGTATTAAGAAATCGAATCTATAGATATACAAAGAATGAAATTTTTTAAATTATATTAAGTTGTTAATCTACAAAAAATACAAATTTATTAAAATTATATAAATTAAGATACATAAATACTAAAAACATAAAGGATTTAACTAAAGATTCTTACATAAACTTAAATAAAAGTAAAGACTACAAGCTTGAAATGAATAATAATGATTATATATATATATATATTAAAAAGTTGTTTTAGTTAAAATTGTTTCTAAATTCTGTTGTGTGGATATTTTATTTTAACTAGTTAATAAGAGTTTAGATTGGTTTTGATGATAATGATAAATTATCATTATTGCTTAATTTTTCTATTTGGATCATATAATTATTTAATTTTTTTGAATTTATGCAATTTTTGATAGGAGATCATAGAGATCAAGATAATTAAATTATTTTGAATAATATTAATACAAACTATAAATTTATGAGGATTTTAATCTTCAACATAATATTTTACATAATCTATGGATACAGATACATATAATATGAAACAGGAAATAAAATACTAGCACCAGGTTCAACTGGTCATATTTTGGAAACAACATAAACACTTCCACGATATCTTGAGGTTGATATATAATTTTAGACACCATTTGTTATTGAACCCTAAGTGTTTCTATCAATATCATTAATAGATTCGAATCGTACTGATCCTTCAGGATTCATAGAAAAAGTTAGATTGGTTACAACGACAGGTATTATATATAGTAAATCAATATAAAGGATTTAAAGTACGTATAAATGCAGTTTCTAAATATGGTCTTCATGGATTAGCTATTGATTGGTATGCATTTGATGATTCAAGAATTTAAGTAATTACATTTGAATCATCAAATCTTTAAGAATTGAGCACTGGTTCAGGAGAAAGAAAAATATATTTTACTCTCAATCACAATTTAGAAGATGCAACAAGAGGTGTAATATCTTAAATGGGAATTATTCACAAATTTGATGATCAAAAAGTAGAATTAAATGTATTTAGTTATTTAATTATTATTATAGATTGAATAAATAACTTAAAATTCTGTTACTGTTTCTGTAAGAACAGACCATCAAACGTAAATAGATTATATAAAATTTAATGTTCTTTTAGGAACAGATTAATCATTATGGACATCTTCTATACGAGATTATTTAGTAGCTTCAAATCATCATTTTATTTACAATAATAGACTTAATAACTATTTCTAAGCTGCTAAAGAAGAATTATAAATACCATTTCCATCAGAATGGTATACTGATATAAGTGTTCCAATGTTTATTATGAGAGGTTATCATAATTTTAAGGGAGAAAATATCAGAGTGTTTTATTAAGATTAGAGATTTCAATAAAATCATATTTTTGCCACTATTGGAACATGTATTCTTTATTTAAGCTACAATAGGGTGGAATTCTACATTATATGAATTTTTTTATTAAGGTGCCATATATTATCCTGATCCTAATTATAGAAATTTTGATCTAAATTGTGCAGAGTTTTTCTCTGAATGCAATTTTAATGGTGACTCATTTATTATTTGTGATAAAATACAAGATTTATCTGGATTATTTAAACCAATTAAATCTATATCAATACCTATTTATAGAAAATTGAATCTTTTCAATGAAGTAAATTATAAAGGTAATAAAATATCATTTGTTCAAAATTAACAATGTATTTCACTTAATGATAAATTATCAGCCAAATTTTAACCAATTATTTCATTTATAAAAATCTTCTTTTTTGATACAGATATTAATCCAACCTGCTTTACTGTTACTTTCTATAATCAATGTAATTATTCAGGAATTTCATATACAGTAAGAAGAGGAGAACATTTAAAATTATCAAATTAGATTCCATTTTAAATCAAATCAATTAAATTATGTCCATTTATGGTTGTCAGATTTAAAGATCCAAAATTTTCAAGTGGAATTACTTAAGAATATACTTCATCATAAACTTGTTTAGATAATTATTAAGTATTTTTTTGTAATCATTTAATATTAGTTTCCAAAATATAGATCCTCAAATTGATTTTTATATGTAATTATTTTTGTAAATTATTAATCATATTCCCAGATATTTAAATTCTTTAACTCTTTTTTTGTTTCTACTCTTCATTGTCCTTTCATACTTATATATGTTATAGGTAGCAAATTTATTTGATCATGGTATTTTATAGTCTAATTTTATGTGATATTTTAATATTTCAATTCTTCCAAAAAACTCATATCAAAATAGATATCCAAGATTGCTTCAGAATTTTATGACCTCAATATTTTTTATTTATTCCTTTTTTATTCATCAAAGAAGAAGGTTAGTCATTTGTGTTAAGGTGGTAGTTTCAAAAGTTCTTCTTGATTAGTTTTTTTTCTTTCTCAAAAATTTATAGGATTCGTTTAGATATTATTTGTTTTTTTTCTAAGATAAATGTATTTCCTTTCCTTTTTTTTGTGTTTTAATTTGAATGTATTGGGTAACATCCTCTTTAAGTTATGTTTGCATAACACTAGTTTATCAGAGTTGGAGTGAAAAACAAGATTATTATTAAGTAACTTTTTATGTTAATATTAATCTATTTAAGGAAGTGATTATTTTAAAATACAACTAATAAATTCAAGAATTATTTAAAAATGAAATTATATTGGTTGAATAATAATATAACAGGACTTTTGTAGAATGACCAAAAAAATTGTATTTAAAACTTCTTTTCTGTTTTAATTTGTTTTTTTAACCAATTTTCATAAAATAAATTAATTTACAAATTATATTGATTTTAATTGAAAAATTATATTATAAAACCTTTGCAAAACAAAATTTAAGATTGATTCTTATGCAATTGTGAGATTTTTGAGAATATAAGAATTGACAACACTGAAAAAAGAAAAAAAGTAAATTGTTATTAAAGATATATCTCTTCCAATTACATTATTCTTTCAGAAATGTTGTAATATCTAAAATCTAGATATAATTTTGATACATATTTATAAATTATTAAGATTTATTAAATTGTTCTCAAAAAATTAGGAGAAAGATCTTTTTATTAAATTATTGATAAAATAATATTAAAATTTATGCATTCGTAGATATATCAACCAAGACCATAAATGCTTTAGCGAAAGTTTAATAGATTCGGTTGAAAATAATAAATAGATAAGATATATTGTTTTAATTTCTTTTAATATATTTATTTTCAAATATTCATTTACTAATGATCTTCATCAATATCAATAAATACACCTGTTTCTTAGGCTATTTTAGATAATCTTTCAAAAAGGCTTATTTTTAATTAGCTTACACTATTAGACTTTACTTCTGGTTTTTCATTTGATTTTCCAAAAAGTATAAACTTTTTACTTGTCCAAATACATATAATGCATAATGGCTCTAGTATTTTAGATGCCTCGTATAAGATACAGTAATCAAATTCTTGAAATCTAAATTTATTTTAAGAGTAATCATCACAAATACTAAAATAAAAATATTTTTAATTCCAAATATCATTTATTTATTATTAATCTTAGCATTTATAGTCGATTAGATATTCATTTATTTCCTTCAATTCATCACTGTTTTTTTATGGTATTGCTAAGATATTTTTATTTGGACAATGTTTACAGAGTTTAACTAAAGTTTTAGGCTTTTCTACACAAATTAACACATGTTTTTTCTAATTTTCTAATACTTTTAATAATTCAAACAACATTCGTTCTTTATTTTATTCTCCACTTTGAACTAAAACATAGTCTTTAGCATTCAGACATAATTAAACTTCTTTTGAGGAATTTTATTCTATATTATTGATTTGCTATTCAATTTATGGTTTTTCTTCTTAAATGAGTAATTTATTAAGTTAAAGTTTGTTTTTAAAAACATTGGAATCAGTATTGGTTTATTATATAAAAACTCCAACTAAATCTACTATTATTTATTTATAACTATAAAATGGATTATAATATTGGATTAAGAAAGGATATCTAGCCTTATCGAAATCATCAGTTTAAAATTTTCCGATAATAAAGATTTTATTTAAATTGTCAACTTACTTATATTATAACCCTTTTGTTATTGTAAATTAGTAAGTTTCTGTATAAAGAGCTATTGTGAGTATTTTATTACTTTTAATAAATTACTCAAATATTTTTAACATTTTTTCATCGAATAGTTTCAGTAATTCAAGTTTATATTCATCCCCTTCTTTTTAGATTTCAACAGTCAATTCAAATTGCTTAAGATACAAATGTTCAAATTCCTCTTTTGTCAAATCTTTTAACATAATATTTAGATATTATTTACTTTTTTCACTCATTTTTGTTAAATCATATTTTTTAATATTTTTTCCTAAAATACTTAAAAAACAATACTTTATTATAATTCAATTAAGGATTGGTTAGACTTCTGACTATTTAAATTTTTATAAGAACAAAGAAATTAATGATGACATAATGAGCAACCAGATTCCAGCTATTCCAAATTTGGATCAGGAAGATTATTAAAGAAGTCCTCTATATCCTAACTTTACGATTTATGATTGCTCAATAAATATTTGTTCCTTTTATCTAATTATTCTTGTATCATTGATTCAGAATATGTAAATAATTTGATATTTTCTTGATTTACCTTATCATCTTTAAGGTAGATTATCATTCCATATTATATAACTTGCTTTTAATACATCATTCCATTTTATTTAACTATCTCCTAATAGTTTATCAAAGATAGATAAGATTTTATTTATAGCTCATCAGAATGTCTGAAACTTCCTGTTTTTATATCTATCAAAACGCTTTCAATATTATTTTTAAAATTATTTTCAATATTATTTTCAATTACTGTACTTTACTTCCACCAAAATGTCTGGTCTCCCATTTAATCCTAAAAATTTTTCTTAAAGTTAAATTTCACTTTGAATATATTTACTTAATTTGATTGAGTGTTCCTTTCCAAATTAATCTTTAACTTTTAAAGATTAATGTTTCCATTTTTCAACCCAGAAATAAAAATGATAAAATGCTTATAATTTTTCATCATTTAAATTTAATTCTGTGAAATCATTAAGTATTTGACTATGTCTTTTACATTAGTGAATGATCTATTTTTCATCATTTATTATTGTTTAAATTATTTCTTTTAATTGCTAATCCTATATTTTAGAATAAGATTTAAAAAATGCTCTCTCAAATATATTATGAAAAGTTTTGCCTTTATTTATCTGTCTACACAGGAGATATAAAAACTTCTGAAATCAATTTTTTTCTTGGGCAAAAAATATAATTGCCTAGACTTGTAACCGCAATAGACTTGTGTGGGTCAACAATAATTAGTAGTCTTTCAGAATTATCAATTGTCAGTTTGTTCTCTCGATCAAATCTACCTTTAACACCTATCTGCATTCCAATTGATAAATCATGTAGATAGTGGAATTATCCTTTAAGCAACGATATGTAAAATAAATTTGGATTGCTTTATTTTTTGGCTTCCAATTCAAAATTAGATTCTTCAGTTTTCCTTATTTTTAGTATAATCAAATGATGTTCGTCTGATTATTCAGAATCAGAATTTTAATTCAAATCATGTTAATTGATATTTGTTTAGATCATATTTATTATATAAAAAAAATATATATATAGATGTTTAATATTAATTTCCTTAATAAAATATAGTCCAATTATTAGAAATTTCTTTTATTGAATTTTAAGAATTTGAATTGTTCAAGAAACTTCTCATTCTTGTTAATATATCTCATCCAATCTAATTTTAGAGATATAGATTGGTCAACAGATAACAGAAAAGAGTCTTCTACCTATAGATCATTTAATTATATGTTTTAAATAGATGGTCTTGATAATTTGCAATATTATTTTAAACTTATAATACTATTCATAAACTTGACTAAGGTTATCCATTCAGGTTCCCCCAAACTTTGTAACATATTTTTCCTTCAGTTTTTGTCCATTTTTCCAAAATTTTTTTGATTAAATGCTACATTTATAGCAAATAGCTCCTTATTTTTTTCAAAAGATTCCTTACTTTGTTTGCATTCTTTATTGTGAAATCATCTTCACCTCTGTATCCTCCAGCCATCAAGCTGTAGAAGCCGTAGGCTCTATAGATAAAGCATATTTTCTTATGCACAATTGTAGTTCCTAAGAATATATTGATATATCTGTCTAGGGTTTCTTGTATTACGGCTTCTTTTATTCATACTAATTATAATTATTTTTGCTAAATTGGAGTTTATTCTGACTCAATATTTAGTTGATTTAAAAATTTTTCGGGTTATTTCTGAAGTATTCCTTTTTTGGTTCATAACAATTAGGTCTCAGTCCTACTTAAATTCTTTTTGAGCCTCTTATTCGTGAACTTAATCTAGATTTGAGTTAGACTTCATAATAATAATAATAATAATAATAATAATAATAATAATAATAATAATAATAATAATAATAATATATAGACTTACATAATTGGATAAGAGATCTTTATAAAGTTATAAAGACTTGTATAAGAGTTATCAAAGGGAATGGTGATAAACAAAAATGATGAGTTTCCAGATATGAACCTCCAATAGCTAAGGAAGAAAGAAGTATTTGCGGGTAATTATTGATAGTAGATATTGAAAACTTAATAATTTTATCCGTAAATCAAAATATAGAAATCTTCATATATCCAACTAGTACATCTGTTAAGATGGAAAAAAATTTAGCCTCATAAGGCAGCATTCTTTCTCCAAACTTATTCAACATATATACAGATATATTTGCTGAAGATTTGAAATTATTGAATTTTTGGTAAAAATGCGATTTGTTAATTTTAAGAAATGTGCTTTTATGGAATTACGTTAATAAAAATAAAATTAAATAAAAAATTTGTATAAGAAATTCCAATAGTTTCAACTTATAATTATCTTGAGTAGGAACTATATAATAAAGGGAAGATTGCAGAACATATAATTAAACTAGAATAAAAGATGAACTATTATCAAATTACTTTCATTAATATTTTAAAAAACACTTAATTCTCTCAAAAAATTTAACTGTCGGTTATCTTTATATTTCTAGGAATATTAGAAAGCTAAAGTGCTAAAGATTAATTAAGGACAAAGCTTTATGGAAAAGAAGCCTGAAAGAATGGCTTTTTCTTTCTAAACTCACTAGCGATTCATTTCTTGAGGCTTTAGTAGGAAATTTTTTATAATTGATTCATGTAAATTATAAAAAGATAGAAAATTAAATTAATCTTAAGTATTAGTAAGAATAAATGAATAATAACATAAATAGTTTATCTCAAATTTAAAAGCAAAGGTTATCAGGGGTCAACAATATGCCTGAAAATATAAAAGACGTGTTTTTGTTATCAATCAGAAATTGCAAAGTACCTAATGAGAGAAAAATATTTTATCATATTAAATAAAAAACACCATATAGATACAGTTTAAAGATACATATAGCTTTTATAAATGAATTTCAAAAAGTAAAGTAAGTAAATTATGGAAAATTAGATTAAAAAATTAATATTGATAGCAGTAGAATTCGTTGAAAAGAGGAAGGTTAAAAAAATGATTTTGTTGTTATTATTATTATTATTATTATCTTTACACCACAATGAGTCGAAAATATCCATAATAATTACATACATGATTCACATTTTTATTTCTTTCTTATAGGAATTTGGACTTATGTGGATAGGAAACAAAAATTCTAATTTATGTTTTTTCCTAACGTTTTGGTTGTTGAATGAATAATTACCATTTTACTCCAAACTTATTTTAAAAAGGCTTTCGAATTATTATATTTAATTATAAATGAACACTTTTCTTTGAATTTAAATTTATTTTCTCAAAGATGATCGATGAACATTTTAAAAGTATGGTACTAGTTTTGAATAATCAAAACTGATTGATTAGCATTTATTTTATATACAACTTTATCCAATACACAATTTTCTAAGTATATTTATTATATAAATTTTTAAAGCACATTTTATATTTAAGTTTAATTTTGAATATAATTTGATCAATCAATTTAAAGGGAAAGTAAGAGTTGAATTAATGAATATTACATATTAACTTAATAGATGACAGAATATAAATAATAATTATTGTAACTTTTTAGATCGTCAAAATATATTGGGTAATATTAGGAAACAAAACCTTATTTTACGACTATATAAATATATATAAAATGAACAATATTAACCTCTTTTTTGATTTAATACAAATAGAACTCATATTTTGCAAATAATTATCCAAAGTATGATACAATAATGATAAATAATGATGCTTAAGAAAGTATAAATTGGCAAGATATTCATTAAGTAAACAAAATGAATTTGTAATATATTAGAAAATTTTACATTTATTAATATATATGATTAATATATTTTTAAATGTAGTGATACTTTGTGCAAAGAGTTAATGGGTAACTATTTACACTCTTACACCCCGTGGTGAATGTTCTCCTTATAGTATCAATTATCTTTTTTTCTTTCTTCCCCCTCATAGTATGCTAAAAATTAGTGTAGGATATAGTAAAAAATATTTTCTTTATATATTTATAGATTCTGGTGTAAAGATAACTCCTGATATTCCATGGTTGGGTTCTGGAGACTAGAGTGTAGTTTCCTCAGCATTTAATACATACCCTTGGGATTGCTTATTTCATACATATTATACTTTATTAAATCACCATTCATCATCACTTACTATAGTTGTCTCCATTCTAATATAGGGTTCAATATCAATTCTAAAATGTCCTTAAGATTGTATATATTGTTAAGGACCAGATGCTAAATGTATTTTATATTTTTTAAAATTTGCTACATTTTGGTTTACAACAATCGAAACAGAAGGATGGATAGTAGACAATAATATTGAAATGAAGACAAGCTCATTTTATACAATAAAATTAGCAGGAGGTTAAGATAATTTATTGGCAAATTAAACTTTAGACAGAATTTTTTAAAATATTCCTCCTCACTTTTAAATTTAAATATAATTCAAGTTATGGACTTTTTCATAATATAATGTGAGCTATGTTTTTAGTTTTGATGATAATTAATATCAAATAGAACAGAAACTTTCCACTAGCCAAAAAGTTGGAATATAAAATATTGAAATATAAATGGACCATTCATCTAGTTAATTGAAATTAAAATTATAAAGTATATCTAATAATGAGCATTCTTGGGGATTAAATACTTTTGATTTCTATATTGCTAAATGTATAATTTATTGTGAGAAATGTTTTGGACCATCAATTTAAGAATGTACACTTTGCATTAAGGGGTGGATGTATTTTAAAGACAATTGCTTACCTAGTAATTTTTATAATAATATAATAAAGTACCATTAATACTTGTATCATTGATTATTAAGGCGAAACCTACTCTCCAAAATTAAAATTAAAATGTTCCATTTCACATATCAATTGATGAAGGAAAGAAATATATATAGGATGTTGGATTGAATAATGTAGAAATAGATCAAAACTTTGGAAATATCACATTTACAATTTAAGCAAACTGTTTTTCAAAAGAAAAGATAGAGGGTTCTTTTAAGAGCTGTTATCAATGTTTTACCCAATCCCAATATACATAAATTCATTATTGTAATCAAAATATCAATTTTATAACTTATTTTGTAACTTTTTCTATAGAAATAGATTCTCAGTTATAATTTATAATAAATCTGTAAGACAATTTTTGTGAAGCATATTAAGTAATATAAGCTTATGATCAAGTGATTGAGTTTTTAATCTTTAAAATAACCAAAAGTAACTCATGATTTTAGCACAATGAGATATGTCAAATAAATAATATTATTGAATCAATATCAGACATTCTTTATAATTATAAATAATCAAAAGAATGATTTAACTCATTATTTAAAATTTTATAAAAAATATCTCAACAAATTTTAAATATTTGTGTTAAACAAATTATCAAATTTGTATTTCCATTCAATTTGTATTAATAAATTCATTAACTATTTTGATTGCTTATCCATAAATTTGACTATTATAATTCCCTAATATAGAGTGATAATATTTTTCGTGAGATTTAATTTGCACACAAGATCCTTGTGTTCGGTAAAATTTAAACTTATCTAAACATTCCATCATTAAATTCCAAAAATTTTAATTTCACTATCGTGTCCAGCAAATAATATTGAATTATGATTATTAAAAACATTTTCATTTTATTTAATTGAGTATTATTATAAGTGTTAATAAGGGAAAAATTTTTAATATTCTATTTTTCTAATTGATAATTTTATTAATGTAAAACAACATATATTTTAAATATGGAAGAAGGATTCTATTTTTACAGATAGCAAACTTACAGTAGAAATGATATTATTTTTGAAATAAATGATTTAAGTAGAAACAAAATTAATGTCTTCAAATCTATTAAAATTTTCTTTCATTAATTATTTAATTATAAAAAGAAAAGTCGGGTTATACGCTTTAAAAATTAAATTTTAATGATAGACAATATTTTGGACTATTTCGAGTATGATAATGTTATCAATTAATTTATTTTGTAAAAAATCAAAAAAAAAAAACTATGTTCTATTTTTTAATATAAAATTATTTGAAATGTTTTATATAGTATTTTGAAATAGTTTAGGCAATTCCAAAAGTCTGTCTGGTTGTGAATTAATTAATTAACAAATCATTTTTTTGCTTATTCTATAGATGATTTGACCGATTGATAAAAATAGGAAATCCCTTTTTAGTTTTTAATAAGTAGCAATTTCTTTCTTGATTAAAATTTAAAATCAGTATTTTATTTGATTTTCTATTGAAAAATAGAATCTGTTTTTTTTGTACGTTCAAAACTAATCGAGGATAATATACAGTATAATGATTTAATTCTCAATCAAAATTCATGGATGCTATAGACCTTAATAAAGTTGAGCAATAGTGCCAAATACAAAAGATAGTATATCTAAGGAATCTAGTGAAATTACAGTCTTTGTAAAATAAAATCCTGTTCATCAATATCAATAATAATTAAGGGATACATATTCTACCTATTTAGTTGGATAAACTTGGCTTATTTCTTTTAAATTGAGTTGATATCAAATAGGCTATGATGATAACTTAAAATAAATTTTAACAATCCTTTGTGTCTTATATTTATTCTACAGGTTTATTGTTCGACATCTTTAAGTATGTATAGAAGTTAATTTTTAAGTAATTAATTGCATTATAATATAATAAAATGATGTAAATTAATTTCTAATTACAAGACTGTATAAATTTTCTATGAATTGAGGAAATAATTTTTCCTGAATTATTTAGATTTATTAGTATATGATTTTGACTTTTTTGTTCAAATTTCCAGAAAAATAAATCATTATTTTATCCATTTAGATTCTTAATCTTTCTCTTGTTTCTAAAAGTATTCAAAGATTATTTTAGCTTTGATTTACGAATTTTTATCCAATCATCTTCTTTTCAGAAATTGATCTTTCATTATCATTCGATCTTTTAATTAATTTTTGCTCATTTAAACCAAAATAGATATAATCAAATTTAATTGAAAAGCTTTATTCTTGAAAATATTTGAATCAAGATCAATATAAAAATTTTAAAATAAAAATATTTATAGAATATAAAAAAAGGACCTACTTGGATTCGAACCAAGGTCTTGAGGGTTAAAGCCTCAGGTACTAACCACTATACGATAGATCCTATAGTTATACTTTTACCTATTAGAAGCTTTTTCAATACAGCTATTAATTAATAATAAATAACTATGATGTTGGAAAAATAAAATTAAAATTCATCCTTACATTGATTAATATTATTCAAATTGTTTCTGAATATAAATTTTTATTCATCATCATTTTATAAGTAAAGATACTTTAATTCTTATCTAGATTACTGGATCATCTTATAATATTTATTTTTAAGAAGCATAATCAATTAATAGAACTCTCAAAATTCAATATGTTTTAGAAAATTTTTCATAATTGATTCTTTTGACAATAATAATTAATATGAATCCTTATCAATAAAATTTAATGATATAATATTCTTACATTATAAATAACTAAATTAAATAATATGTTTGTATTTTCTTTTAATTTCTGGTATTTTTCAAACAAAAGTTCCACAATATTTATTCTCATGATTAGATTTTTTGGTAAATAGAGAGAATCAAAATTTTTGATGTTCTTAACTCATTTACTTTTTTATATCCATTTTCATTTTAGAATAGATTTTTATATTTATTTGACCTTTTCTTCATGTAATTTTCAACCCTAAGTACAATTTAAAATCTCTCCTTTTAAAAATTTTTACTCTTTTATAATTCCAGATTATAACATCATAGATGTTCCCATTTAGATTATGATAATTTGATTTTCATATACCATTTGTTCAATTTTATTTTTTAAATAATTTATAGTAGTTAGTTCCTCTTCTTGCTATAATAAAAATTGCATAAATAATAGTGATAATAATACTTTTTAGAAAAATGAAAATAATATCAATTACGTTTTCTCTTTAGTAACTGCTCTAACTATTTTAACAGAGTAATAGTAAATTATCTTACAAAATCAGTATCTATAAACTTCACGCTTTTTATGACCTTAGATATTTCGATTCTTTTTTTAATATGTTTCTTTTAGCATTTATTGAATTTTTATATGAGGAATATCAAATTAAAAATCAAGAAGTTAATTCTCACAACTCCAAATATTTAATTTATATTTAATTTTATCACATTTTCTTAAATAAAAGTTTCTGGCTTTTCTTAAAAGATTTACGTAGTTACCATTCTTATTTATTAATAGTTATTTCTGAGTAATATATTATTAAAGGAAATAATAGTTCATATTAGTCTAATTTTTATTAATTAATTACCTCATAAAAAGTTTTATCTGATTACATGTTTCTTTAAAAATATAAAAATAATAATTTTTTACTTTTTATAAATCAACCTATATTTTGAATTTGAATTCTAAATTTTTTATTTTTCAATTATTTTAAATTTAAAGTTTTTTATTAATTATTTAATTACTATTAATTATCTTCCATTTAATTATTTAGCTTCTATTACTCTTCAAAATTATTCTTATTCAATTGCTAATCTTGTTCCACAAATTTTATTTGGCTTTTGTGGGATAAATTTTTTAAAAGAACGATATAAATTGAATAAAGAAATTAATAGAAGTATATCTACCAAAATCATATTAGCTATTAAGCTTAAGTAAAATTTAATTATAAAAAAAACATATTTCAGTTTTTTCGATTTACTATTGTTTTTCAATTTTAAAATATATTTTAAAATTATAGTAACTAAATTTAATTATCGCCGTTGTAAGATATATGATTAAATAAAGAAAACTTCATCCCAATATTTTTTAATTAAATAACATAGATTAGGTATATTAATAAAATTAATCGAAATAACTCACTTAAAATAAAATTAAAAGAATTCTGGTAATTTAATAAAGATGTACTTGATAGAAAGATTTCACTTAATTCTTTCTTTTCCTGGAATTTATAAATTTAAACTCACATTTTTAAATATCCATATACTTTAGATATATTTCATAAATGAAAAAATTAGAGTAACCCACAATTCTGATTACAAAAGTTATAAAGGAATAACTTAATTGATTTATTAAATAAAATTAGTTTTATATTTCGATCATGTCAAATGAAAATTATTATTTATTATTTATCCAAAACTTGAACCGTTGTATAATCTTTTATTTCAATAGATGGAGTTTACAAATTTTTCAAAATGAAAAAATTCTACAAATTTTGAAATTATCTCATACACATTGAAATAAAAGATCTATTTTAATTTGACTAGATTTCTAATAAAATTAAAATTTCTCTGGAATTTAATTCTTAACTTTAAAAGGTCAGTAGAAATTCTTTATATCAACTCAAATAAAACCTTAAGTTAAGTTTTTAACTAATGGAAACTCATAAAATGCCTACTTAATTAAATTCAAAATTAATGTCTCCAATACATAAAGTTTTTTACTTTAGATTAAGAATATAATTTTTGACAAATATATAATAATTATATCAGTTTTCTTTAAACCTTCTTATTTATATTTAAGTTGATGTCTCATCCCAAGTAATTAAATATTCTCCATCATCACTCATTTACCCAAATATTTAATTTGTACCAAAGTAAATAGATTATTCAAGTTCAAATTCAGCATTTTCAGTAAATCTTATTAAATTTACAAATTTAGCATACTTAGTTACAAGTAATTATTTTTATTTAATAAACTACTATGGAAATAATATACTTCCTTCATTACCTTGATTTAAAAAAATAACTTTTGATTAAATGAACTATTTACTTACGCTATCCAATTAATAAACATGGATTAAATTGCCAGACACAGATTAAAATGTGAATATATTATCATTGATAAAGCATAATCGATATCCAAAACCTTATATTTTTTACTTTACAATCCAATTTTTATTATTTTCTTATTATTCAATTACTAATATATATCGATCAGTTCCACAAGATATAACTTAATTTTATTATTCATTTAAACTTAATTGATGAACCCAATCACTATGATCTGTAATTATTTACTAACAGATCCATTTATTTTATTTAACCCAAAACTTAATAGTCTTATCATAACTACTTGATATAAAAAGATCCTCATTATTATTTAAAATTATGCATCTTATATGATCTGTATGACCTTTAATTATTGATGAACAGATCCATGATTTATTTTTATATGCCCAAATAAAAATAAGACCATAATCACCAGAAATCAATTTATTTGATTATTTCATGAACTATAAAACAGTCACACAAATTTTATGTTTATTTAAAAGTTGATTTAATTATAACATTCCTTATTAGAATTGATATATTTTAATTTATTTATTACATCCCGCTGCTACTACAGAACAATCTTTATTAATAGCAACTGCATGACAGGTTTCTTTTTATTGAATAGAGTTATCTTCAATTATCTAATAATTAAATGGTTTGAAATTGAATTAAGATGATAATTTTATTTAAATTTGTTATTAGAATTATTATTATAATTATTAATGTTCAAATTCTTTTTATGATTGAGTTTTAACTTAATCTCTCACTTCAGATTATATTAACGGTTTCACTTCTTAAACACTATTTGATAGCAAATCTTATTAACTAATTAAATGAATTTAATTCATTTCTTTTTTTATCTTTTAATTAAAAGCCTGAATTTCTTAAACCCACCAATTCTTTGCCTTTTCTAATTTCATCAAATAAAAGTTTTTCTAAGTATTCCATAAATTTAATGTGTTTCCTACTATAATTTATACTAATTTTTCTAAATCAGAATATGAGGATTTAGCTATATTCATATTGTTGCTGATAAGGTTAATGTATTATGTATTTTCCTATTCAATCATATCGTACACTTAGTTTATTGATGGTATCAAATCTTCCCAAATTTTCGTCATCATACTCTTAATTTGAGAAAGAATGGATTTAAAATTCATTCTTTATTTGTTAAATTCAGATGTCTCATTTAGCTAAGATTCTTTTAATTTCTTGATAAGAATCTCTCCAAATCTATCAATCGAGACTGTTTGTTCGGTGAAATTGATTCCATGGTCAGAAAGGCATTCAACGCACAATTTCCTTTAAAATTAACACTTGTGAGGAGCGATACATATTAATGATACTTATTTTTTATTATGATAAGCACAATCCATAAACTTTTTTTAATTAATTTTCTAATATTTTTAATTAAGTTTAATATTCACTCAGTAGCAAAATGTAGCATATCAATTTATCTAAAGTAGAAGCCCAGAATCTGAAAAAAAGAGTTTGAGTTTATTCTAAGTAAAGTTAAATCACGGATTAGAAAATCAAAAAAACGTTTTTAGATTAATTTAGAATAAAAGATGCATAGATGAAATATTGAATTTTTTAATTTAAATATCAAATGATATTATTTCCAATTACTAACTTTAATTGCATATAATCTTTTCTACTTTTCCTCAACATTTTAATTAAGTAACTTTATAATTAATATTGTATGGAATCATTGATTTTCTTTAAAATTTAATATAAACTTTCTGATAGACTAAAAACTTAAAAATTATGTATCTCATGGGCATTTCTTTATTTTTGTGAAAGATGAGATTAAGCCATCCTTATGAAATATAGTATAAAAGCAATTATTTTGAACGCATCTTAGAAAGATCAAGAATAATGACGAGGGTTTTTCTGTAGACATAAGAAAACAAATTGATTGATAAAAATAAATAAAGTTTCTTCAAATTTAAAGTAACTAGATGTAATTGATTCAATCATTTTTAAATAAATGATAAGGTCTTATTTGGTTCAATCAACCATTACTGTTATACTATTTATTAAGATTTCCATTTTAAATTATAAATCCTTCAATCCTATTATATAATTTTTCAATCTTCCTAATGAATTACAAAGATTCAAAAACAAAGTTAATTTTAAAATTAATTTATCCGGTCAATTGTAAGTTATAGGAACACCTTGAAAAAATTAAGAGCATATTATGGATACAAAATAATCTAATAATGCTTTTATCAGCAAATAAATGATATTGCTAAATAAATATCTAAAAACAAAAGGATTTATAAATTATTGTTTATAATAGAGTATTTATACTGATTCGATTGACTATTTTATAAAACTTTCCTATTTTCATAGACTCCGATTGTTTTGAACATTGCAAATCAAAAATAATTGAAGAATTTGAATTGTCATGTAGAATTCAAAAAGATTGTAGAATAACTAACAATATTATTGATGTGATTTTTCATTTATCTCTTTAAATTTAGGAATAATATTCTTCAGATTTAATAATATCAACTTTTTAATCAATATATATTTTCTGAGAGGCTATCTTTAGAAAAGTAATAATAAGATTTATTAAATACTTAGAATATCAAGTTACATCACCAGTTTTTAGTTGATTTTCTCCATATTGAATCCTTAAAATTTAATAAAAAATTAACAGTCTTAAGATATTTAAATTAGATTTAGGTCACGTTCTTAAAGTTTAAAGGTAATCATCATCACTGGAGATTAATCTTTTTGATAAAAATAAAAATCATTTTATTAATGCGGATCTCTTGAAGCAAAGAAACACATACACTTAATTGTATTTAAATAAAAGTTAAGCAATGTGATTTTTTTTCTATTTGAAATATATATTCATAGTATGAATATATATTATTCAAATGAATAAATATTGTTTAAATCACATGACAGAAAATTAGATAGTCTGATTAATTTTGTTTTATTTATTTATGAGATCATCAAGTACCAAAATAATCTAGAAAGAAGTGGGATTAAATAAATAAAAAAGCTATGTTCCCTTCTTAGTCCATAGAAAGTTTATAATAATAGGTAAATTATTGAAAATATATTCATAAAATGACTGAGTTTAATTTCTACTACCTTCTAGACCTATCTAAGATGCAATTATTTCTCCTTACAATTATCCACTGTTTGTTACTAAACATGCCTCCATGGTTGCTTTGCCCTTAGTTGTTGAATGAGGAGAAAATAGATAGAATCTTGTTTTAATTTGTTTTAAAAAACTTTCCATGTTTACAAAGACCTTTTCTATTTTTATATCAATTATTAGTTCCTTTTACATATTTATTTATTTTAATAACAATTAAAATTGTGATTACCTTATAAAAAGTATTATCAAAATTATCGAAAATTTTTTTTATTCTAAAAGAATTTCTCTAAATGACATAGTAAAATTTAAACTTGATGAAATTAATCTATTCATCTAATATAAATATTTAAAGGAAGAAAACTAAATTATTCGCTATATTATCAAATTAACAAATTAAGGATGCTTAGAAAGGTTGTAAACGGAAGAGTATGATAATTGAATACAAAACAAAAAAAGGAAAAAAAGTATTATATTAAGAAGATACCTCAAATTAGATTAAAGAAAAATATTAGAGGAGTCTAATTTATTTTTCGTTAAGTATTTTATTATATAATATTATAGATTCAGGCTAACATTTTTAAATCACGCTCAGGTGCACTTAAAAATGGATTATATGGAAGGTGGGAGGGTGGGGGATTTATATTATCATATCAAATAATAAGCACATTTTTATATAAAAATCAATTGTAGAAAAAGTTTTATAAAAATCAAATTTTCTCATAATATCATAAAGCATAAACTGAACTTAGGGGATTCAACACCCAAACAAAAAATTTAAACTATAGAGCTAAATTTTTTAATTACAAGTACATTTTAAATTTTACTTTAATATTTAAAAAACTCAGTACAAAATTTCTTTCATCCAAGAAAGGAGTAGAATAAAACTAAGATCAATCTGTAGAGCAAGAACAAGGCTAGAAAAACAAGTGGGCTATCGAAGCTCTTCAAAGGGGACAAACTATCACACAAACGATGTCTTCCTTTATATTACCTAAACTAAACAGCAACTCACCCAAAAAAAGAGCAGAACAAGAGTTATAAATAATTGGATTTAAAGTACAGCAAGTTAATATAAATGATAATAATTAAATAACATGATGATTTTTTTCAAATAAATTAATAACAAAGATTAAATTTTAATTTGAAAAAAGAAAAAGTAAACATAAAAAAGTGAAACTCATCATTCTTAAAAAAGATTCAAATCTTTTAATTTACTGATTCAATAATTATATAAAAGCCATTTAGGCTAGTAATATTTAATAAATTCATTTAATTTTTCATTAATTTAAACTATTCAATCATCATATTTCTATTCATTAAGTTTGTCATTCTTCCATATATCCATTTTAATCCATCTACCAATCTTCTAACCTTACATATTATATTCACCATTATGTGTGAATTAATTCCAATTATAAAACACTATTAGGGAACATAGATTTTCAAAAATTAAGAATGTTCTTTTTAAATATTGCCAATTAACTTTTGAATCTCTCTCTAATTCTTCAATTTTATTTAAAGTCATATTTAATTCATCTTTGAGTATCTTGAACTTCTTGTTATATTCAAAGTAATTTGGACTATTAAATTCCTCTATTTTTTTCTAAATATCTTTTATAAATTATTCAATAAACTCCTGTTCGCAAATTAATTAATCTGCTGTATTTCCATGATAAAATTAAGAAACTTTACAATGAATTCTTTCTCATTTATGTTAAATAATGCAGATACCCTTTTCAAAATTATGCTCTACGCAATTTTTGTTGAAGTAATTCATTTTCTATCAATTTTATTTTTTATAATAAAATGATAAATATGTAATTTGCAATCCTAAATTTAAAACCCTCTAATTTATTTGAAGATGATGATAATGAATGTGTCATTACTGATTTTTCTCCCTTTTCTAATGAAAATGCAGAATTATATTTACCTCCTGAATCTATAGCAGCTTTACAAAAGAATTAGATTTAAAGATTTGCATCTGATGAAACAAATCAATTGGAAGGAGATCCAATAAAACTTGATATTTGGTAATTGGGTTTAACATTTCTTTAGATGGCTTCATTACTAGATATTGAAGAATTAGTAATATTAAGAGATTCAAAAGTTTAAGTTTCTGTTAGAGCCATTAAAATAAAGTAAACTGTAAAAAAGTTATATGGATATCATTTTTTGAGTCTGATAGAAAGAATGTAGAAAGAAATCCTTCAATGAGATCACCAATAAATGATTTAGAATATATGATCTAAGATTTTTTAAGTGATGAAATAATTAATCATGATAAGAATTTACTGCAACCTAATCCAGATTTGTTATTAGATGAATTAAAATTAAGAGTCACAGAGTAGAAATCACAAACAGTAGTATAATATTTGTCTAAATATCAAATGTAATCAGTTAGTTGGAAATTAAAAACAACTAATTTTTGGTAGGTATTGGATGATATTAAAATATCAATAAGCTTCTAAGAAAAAGTAGCTTTATTATAACTTTATGGTATAGAAAATAATGATAAAATTGATCTGTCTAAATGGATTTAAACACTAAAAGAAGTCATTAAATTAGGAAAATTGAGTTAAGTATAAAATCAAGAATTACTTGAAATGCTGAAAGAATTAAACTAATATTTAGCAGACATTAATATTAATTTAATAGAAATTTTAAAAGAAAATGATTAGGAATAATTAGGATACTTACCTTTTGATAAATTTGAAAACATTATCACATAATAAGGAATGTATTTAAATTTAGAAGATAGTTCTCTTTTAAAATTAAAGTATGATCCTCAAAAGAAGAACATTATTTATTATGAGCACTTTTGTAATGATATTAAATAATCAAATTAGTAATAATTAGGATTGGAGGAATTAAAAAAAGAATATGTATAAAGATACTAGAGATAGATACAATATATCAATCTCATTTTTTTTAAATTATGATAGTAAATTAAAAGGATATCTTTAATATGATGATATCTACAAATTTTTAAATGAAAATGGATATCACCCTAAACCAGAAGTTTTTAAAAAATTACTTTATAATTTGGATTAACAAAATAAAAAAAAGATAACCTTTGAGAATGTGAGAATATTCTTTGAAATTAATATAAATTAAGATTTAAAAAAAATCCTAACTCAACTTATTAATGGTTTGCATAGTGTCTAGATGACATTACCCTAATTAATTAAAAGTAGTATTAATAGTAGCAGTGTCATATCCTAATCATAATTTTATAATACTCTTAAGCAAACTAATAATCATCTTCAATAGACTGATTTTTAGTTTTTGTTAAATTATTTTCGTGTCAAAGATGAAATAGAGTATCCTCATTTCATTTAAGCATTAGCAGTTAAGGCAAGGGATTTGTAAATTTGTAATTGGAAATATTTATAATAAGTTGATGGTAGAGTTAGTTTTTTAGAAAAAGATGATTTTGATGATTCAGAGTTAACATTTTAAGAGTTAATTAATTTCAATCCAAAATCATTTAATTCTTAAAGAGAGTTTTTACAATTTATTACTAAAAAATTTTAAGAAAGAGATGAAATTGCTAATTCTTCTTTTAGGTGTAATTAAGAAATTGCTAAGATTGTTCTTTCTATATCTTAATATATGGAAAAAGAAACCTGTACTTTACTTGATTTCTATAGATAGACTGATAGGGATAAGGATTATTGTATTTCTAATGAAGAATTTACTGAACTGTTATAAAGTACAATTGGATATACTAGTACTTAGAATATATAAAAATAATTATTTGAGATATTTGATATGGATAGTGATGGTAAAATTAACTTTACAGAATTCGAGTATTAAGTATACAAACGGAATTAAATAACGGCTAAATAAATTGAAGAAATGAAATATGTGATGTTGAATGGAAGAAATCCTTACATTGAACAACTGAGATCCGCCAAGTACGATATTAGCAAGGTCAACTATATCCAATTTTATGGAATGTCTTCTTAATATAATTTAAAATTTTTTGATCAAAATTAAATCAATATGTATTTTCATTTATAATTTTTTTAAAATTGATTATAATGATGGTTGTGAAATTATTTGAATCTCATGGTTTTTAATTGCTTGATCATATTAAATATGAAAATGATAACTATTTAATTATATAACATTGAAAATAAACAACTTAAACAAATTAAAATTGATTTGCACTTAAGTTTATAAAACTATAACTATGGTTAGAAATTACTCAGTCTCCTTTCTTTTCAAATCATGAATAAACTTTTAATTATTAATATACTATATCCATTTATAAGTATATTAGAAATATGATTCATTTCCTGATTATATAAAATTCTTGGCTTATCTCTTTTCAGTTATTCTATTAATTATTCTTCTTAAAAAATGAAGGAAGTTGCAAAATTTTTATGATATATTTATCATTTTGGCCCTAAGACTATCTTACTAAAACTTATGTTTGCTCAGCCTTATGAATATACTTAGATATCTAAATTAAAGTGAGACTAATTCTCTGTTATTTTTAAATCATTTATTTTAGTTTGATTGAGTTGTCTCAGAAGCAGTTAATACTAGATCTAAATTCTTGATTTTACAGCTGTCTGCAATCATTTTTAATGAGTTTACGATGATATCAAGAAGAGGTAAACAAACGTAATTAGTATTCCATCTTCATAATACAAATATAAATATTTTCAGATAATATATATATGAGCTAAATTTAAATTTACAATTTCAGAAAAATATCCTTAAATAAGCGAATATTGATAATTTAATTGTGTAGCAAAAGTTTAATACTTTTTTTATCCTTCTTAATCATTAAAATCCCTGATAAAAAGCTAAATTAGACATTTTTCTAAATTGATGATTATATTACAATATCAAATTAAAGATTTACCTAAATTTGATTTCTTTATCAAGAGGGTCTATATTGATAATCAAATAAAAAATTCATATTTTTACAATATTTAAAAGAAAAAGGAAAATAATTTTATCACTATTTATTATCTAGCTATTTTGTATTCTAATGATATTTAATTTATCAGAGATAATTATTATTTGGTCTACTTCCTTATCATTTTTATATTGAATTATTTTAGTCCCGTTCTTACTTCTTTACAGAAGTTTGATCACATCATTGATTGTGATAAATCTCTCCATGCATAAAGCATCTTAATTTTATTCTTCCCACATTAGGATTCAACTATGATTATTTGTGGGTAAAAGGAAAATTCTTTTTTTAAAGGTGTCTGAGAGAATATAAAACACATGATTCAACTCTTCAGTAAATTTGGAATGCCCTAAAACTACTGTTTTTTTAATGGATAGTTTTTTTTATTTATCTCAAATTATTGAATTTAGTTAATTTTATACCTTTCGAAAATTGATATGGAATCTAAAATTTAAGGAATTGCTTTTTTGAATAAGTAGCTCTAATTTTTGTTGATATATTAATTGCATTTATTAGAACATGAAATTTTCAAGAATTCTATTTGGGTTCTTTGTCTATTCTAAATATTGGAATATATTATTATTTAATCACTTTGAGCGTAAATTGGAATTATGACAAAACAAAAGGTCAAATTGTTGATTTAGAATTTTCATAATTCCTACAGAGCAACAAGGGAATTTCATTATATTTAAATACAATAATTTTTGACTCATTAGATAATAAACTTGCTTAAATCTATTAATAAGCTCAAATGGAATTTACTTATTTTATTCCATCATTTAAAGTGTAATTACATGTGTTAATTGTAATATTCAAAAATTATACGATTTATCATATTTAAATTATTTATTTCTATAAATTGAATTATCTATGATCAACTCCAATTTATTGATTAATTAACATCCAAAAGAATTTTGAAAATATTCAGATTCTAATTATTTATCCAACCATTTTTCATCTCTTCAGTCACAAAATTAAAATCAAATGATTGAAGTGCCATTATTCAAAATATATAAAGTTAACACATAAAAACTAGAATTCAAATTAATTAAAAATCCTTCAACAATTAACAGTTATGAGAGTTTCAAAAAAAAATTATTATTAATCATGAACGGCATCTAAATATTTTAAAGGTAAAATTTGAATGAATTAAGTTAAGATAAGCAGGTTGAATAAATTTTGAAATAATGATTAATTTTAATCATCGTCGAAAGATCATAAATAGAGCTAAGAATCATTATATCTGAAGTTCATAATAAATATATATATCTTAGTTTAAGTGCTACAAGTATGTATTTAAAGATTTCATAAAATTCGTCTTCCAATCCAAATTATTAATGTCACGTTTATGCCCAAGTTTATTGATACCAAATTTTTAACTGAACTTTGGTGTTTCTAATGAAAATCTTAATTCATAGTGGTAAATATGTCTAGAAAATTGCAAATCTATTTTCCAAACAGCGCTTCCTTCTAAGTTTATGCTCGATAATATAAAAAGCTCAATTTTATATGACATTATAATCTTTAATTATAATATTTAATTAATTAGTTAGAAAAGTTAATATTTTCATACTATTGAAAACTCTATTGAATGGATTTTAAGCTTAATTTAGAAAAAAATAGCCAATTTATTTTTTCAATTCTATTTTTTCAGCTGATTTTGGAAAAATAACTTTCAAAAATTGCCTTTTGAAAATGCTGAGTGAATTTAGAGCTTCCTAAAAAAATAAGAATTTTTAACATACATACATGTATTTTCTCTTTATTAAACCTATTTGAAAAACCCAAAAAAACAAAAAATTTACTATATGTCAATTATATTATGCTAGCAAGGAGATGATTTTCTTAATAGGCATAGCTTGGAGTAAATGAGGCAAGTAAAGATAAAAAATTGTTTAATTTTTATCTTTAAGTCTTGGATATTTATTTTTTATTAAATGTTTTTTTTGTGTAACATAAAATGTGATAAAAAAACTTCATAATTTATTCCGTTGCTTTTTTTTGCTCTAAAAGAAGGAAAGAAGATGTATTCAAATATTCAATTATTCAAACTGTTGGTTTTAATCACTATTGAAAAAGCTCACAATATTTGGCTTATCTAAATTAAATGATGAAAAATACTAGAAAATATTAAAGTATTTGAGAAAATTCAATCATATTAAATTTATAAAATGTTTACGTCTTAAATTATGAGGCAAGAAGAAGAGGATATAAATGATTTTATTTAAATTTTTTATGTTGACATTCAAAATATTAATTCCGTCTTTAATTGGGTCTTGACCCTCTGAAACATTAAAAATACAAGAAAGATTTAAAAGGCTTTGGTTAAATTTAAAGTTTTATCTCAAAATTCACTAAGAATCTACTTGATTTCTCAAACTAATTGGATAAATCTATAGCATAAGCCAAAAATAATGGCGAAAAATTTTTCAAAATAATTGGTGAAGATTAAATTATTTAAGATATCTCAATTTTTAAATTAATCGGTATATTTATAAATTAAGGACAATTTATAAGGGATTAAAGAGTGGGCCAATATTTCATTAATTATAGAGATCAGGAAGAAGAATTAAATAGGTATTTGTATATAAGCAATATTGTTAGGAACATAATAATAATTATTGATCACATATTTAATTATTATAATTAGGCTTTGTATTTAGATAAAACAGAATAATAAACTCGAGGTATTAAATTTGATAGCTATAGCATACTCTATTAAAATTAAATTTAGGTTATGGATTAAATGATGAAAAACACTATCAGTTAGCAATAAAATCATGCGAAAAGATTTTTGAAAGAACAGCCCATCATCATGCTTTATATAGAAAATGTAATTATTTATATTTAAAGCATGGTTTACTTTATATTTGATTTATATAGAAATATAATTATTATAAATGATTAAACGTACATTAATAAGCTATTTCATGAATTGATAAAGCACTTTAAAGCAATCCTAACTATATTATTGAATTTATGAGTAAAAGTGCTTGTATTTATTGTAATATGGCGTTCCTAAAAATATAAATTTAATTAATATGCAAATAAACTTAAAAATATCGCGATAAGTTAAAGCAATTCAAATAGATCTGAATGGTGCAGATTTCTCTATAAATAAGACTTTGTAATAATAAAATAATTAAGAAAATTTCAATTAGTTATATCAAACTAGATTTGAATGTTATATAAAAAAGAAGATTAGAAGTATTTATAGAATAATCAATTGTAAAATTTTTTGTTATATAAATACATTCAAACTTATTATGAATTATTGCCATCAATTTAATCCATAGATTATAAATTAATTAATCTTATAAATATTTCTAACCATATTATTCAAGATTTTTTTCGCTCAGATTCTTAAATATTAATTAAATTTTTATTTACAGTCTTTTGATATGTTCAATATTTTTTTGTATAATCTAAATTAATTAATAAATTGTTTACTACTTAAATAAATACAATGATAAAAGTATTGAAAAAATCAAATCATATGAAAAACGACTGAAAGAAATTATAAGATTAGATACCATGATGTGAAAATGGTTAGTTAAGATTGTTTAATTAGTTTAGTCAGTTTTGAAAGAGCTCAAAATAAATAAAAAAGAGAAACTCTTGGGGAGAAGTAATTATTAGTAAGAAAAAAATAAGAATTTTTAGAATGAAGATGATGGGTAAAAGAGTTAATTTTACTTGCCGATTAAGATTTTAACTAATCCGTTATTGAGTGCTAATGAAGGATGAGTTCCAACAGTATTAGCTCTAAACTTAATAATACTAGAAAATGTAAATTCATTAAATCAATAATGTGTGTCTAATTTGATTATGAATGGAAAGGCATGGTCAAACTTATATTGAGACTTAACTAAAACTCGTTCAGAAAAAACTGAACCAATATAAAATTATTATAAGACATTTATGGACTAGAATTTTAGAATATATATACTCAAAAAGGCTTAGAATTTTATAAGATTTGAATTTTATAATTTGATCTTGTTTTTAAGAGCAGATCATATATAACTATATTAGATAAGTTAATAGCAAGATTTAAGGAATTTTAATTATATAACAACTTTAAGTCTGTTTTTATTGTGGATTTAAGCCTCAAAAATATTAAGGAAATAAGATCACATAAAGATCTATTTAAGTATGTATGTTCTTAACTAATCAGTATTAGCAAAGCTTCAAATATAATAGAAAAATCAATTTTTCAATATTGCATTAATTGTATTCAAGAATTCTTAAAATAATTATAATAGAATAATTGTAAACCAAGTAAATTTACCTCGGTATCTAAATCATTACTAAGACAATAAATAAATATAAGTTCCTCTCCATTTAATAAGATTCTTCTGATATGCCGTAAAACAAAAATAGTAAAAAAAATGAACACAAGGAATTAGAAAAAGGATATGATTTATGTATATAAAACAATATTACTACAATTAAAAGATCTATTAAAAACAAATCTAGTTATATTCACACACACTTTTTAATTCCAATTCCAAAAAGACATTATTATGAATTTACTGTAAATGCAGAGTTATCATTTGGGATAAAATTTTGATTATCAAAATTTCACACCATCAATAATAAATTTGTTAAATTTAAATCAAATTGTTAATTTAGAATATTAATGTTACGAAGATTAGAATAAATTTAAAAATTATCAATATTGACACTATTCAAATTAAATTAATATTATTAGTTTTTTAAGAGCCTGCATATTGAAATTAATATTAATAGCCTCATTTTGGAATTATTTTTCTTTGACAAAATGCAAAGTTAATAAAATGTTTGATAAAATCGTCATTTAATCAATTGTAGTAATTTTTAGTTTATAAATTCTTTATATCATTTATTTGCTCAAATAAATTTTTTATTATTTAGTTTAAAGAGCCTAAAATAAAAACAAATTATCTTAATAATTTAATATAATTTTAAGATTTGTGAGACTGGGATTAATTCTCATCTGTTTAGATCTCTGTATATTTTAAGATTTTGACAAATGGGCATTGTAATTGTTGTTAATCAACAGCATTACAGCCAAGTTATCATATCTAGCTGCAATCATAAATAAACCATCTGCCTTTATTTATAATAATTAATCATTTTGGAGCAACCAATTCTTATCTTATCTCATTGAAATAATTAAATTTTATATGGTCATAAGTATAAGTGAGAAGTGCCATAAATTTTAAATACCATTTTTAATATTTAACTATTTTGCTTTTATTATAAGTAATGCATTAATATCATCATAACCATATTTATTTAAATAATGTGGTGGAAAATTTTCATACAAATCTTCAGTAAATATAGAGTAATTTAATTTTGGATAAATTAAATTTGTACTAATAGGTAAGTAATTTTCTATAACAAAAGAGAAAATTTCCTTATGGGTAGCTTCCCAATTGTAACTAAGCTTCTAGTTCTATTAGGTGTAAATCATATATATTTTAATTCTAAATTAATTATAAAATGCGACACGTCTTATTATTTCTTTTGTAAGGTAAATCAAGTTCATTTTCAAATAATTTAATAACAAAACTTTTTATGATGAATCTATGATCTCTTTTCAATTTGATTCTAAACTATCATGAAGAAAATTAAAATTAGATGTAAGTAATTTATTAGCTAAATTCAAAAGCTTGAAATACAAAAAAGCAATAAAAATATTTACTCAAAGTTTAATTAACTGTTTATTAATTTTGATTAAAATTAAAAATCATTGAAAACCTACCTTCAACTAATTCAAGGTATATTCACCATCATAAATGACTTATTTACATGATTAAAACTCCCCTTTTCCGATTTTTTTCTAATTTCCTTCTTAATCATATAATCTACGAGTATATTTACATTCTTAAAACAAATACTAATGCCCCATTTTCTATTTACAATACATAATATCACTTTCATAACTCCAGTAATTCCTATTTGATACCTTTCCAGAAAATTTCAATGAAATGTTTAATTTAAGTTTAGCATTGCAATAAAAACCTCAAGGAACTTTAATATAAAATTTTTAAATTTTTGCATTTTAATCCTCTCAATTTTAGTTCTTCTTTAACTAAAAGGATTATTTTAATTATTATACATAAAGATACCAATTTATTTAAATAAAATTTAGAAAATTAATTACAATAAAATTAATATTGACAAATGAATTGCATATACCATACTAACAACCCAATTTCTTAAATTTGTATTGCCTCACATAAATGCTAAAGAAAACTTTGTGTTGAATGCCTTGAGCAACATGAAACTTATGGAAAATCAATAATATCAATTAAAAAATTTTCAGAATAAGTATCCCACAAAATAGAAGAAGAAAAGTTAGCTTAAAAGACCCTACAAGAAACTAAATTGCTATAGAATATTAAATAGCTTATTATTATTACTGAAAATACTTTGAAGAAAATGTGGGAATATTTATCATAATAGATTAAGATTTTCGATTCAGTTGAAAAGGAAGATTAGCAAATTAAAGTAATTCTAAAGATTTGTTTAAAAAAATTCTTATTCTATATTATTTTCGAAAATTAAGAATTAGTTAGAATAAGAGGTTCAAATATTTAGCTCAAAGATTAAAGAATAAATAAAAGAAATTTCTTATATATTTAAGTAATTAATTAAAAATATATATAGAATTAACAAAACGATGTTTAAATGGAAGGTAGAGACCAATGAAATTAAAAGTCTTGTTTGGGATTCTAATTTTAACAAACTTCTAAGGACGTAATTCTCAATAGCTTTTACCGATAAACAGGAAATCGAATATATCAAAGATAGATAAATATTGAGAATGTACTATTTTAAATTTACATTAACAGCGACAAGGTTAAAGATACTTCAATTCAACCTTAGAATAAATAAAACACCTTATTTGGTCTGGGGAAATAAGGATAGAATAACTAAAAAATTGGTAGATGGTAGGCTACATGGAAAGGTGAAATTTTGGATAATGGTGGAGGTGAGTATGCATATGGTAAAAAGTCAGGGTAATGGAAAGATCTAACATAGAATTATTGGAGGTATAGATTTAATATATAAAAAAAAGTAAAGCCTAGGTTTATGAAATTGGCAAATATGACAACGATATTAGAAAGGGAGTTTGGGAATTTGTCTATCAAAAGGAAAATGGATTGATCTATTTGAAATTTTTTTTAATTTGCTTAAGTTACTTATAATGGTGAATATAATATGCAAGGTATTAAGATTGGTAGATGGGATATTATGTATTGTGTGGATGGAGAGTAGAAATATAAATAAATGTAAATGTTATTTAAGCATAAGGAATATAGTGGTGGTGGATGATATGATTAAGATGGAAATTAGAAAAAGGTTGGTAAGTGGAAAGAATTAGATATTGATTTTCAGGAAAATAAATTACTCATTTATGTTGTGTTATTAATAGAAATATCATTGAAAATATCGTATTGATTAGCAATTAGATTCCTTGGTTAAAATTGAATTATTTATATAAAATTAGAATATTTCTAATTATATATATTTTAGTTCTTACTATAAATAATCTGATTCATTATCTAAATTATTTATCAGATTCTTTCTCTGTTTCATTAACTTATAAATTAATTAAAAGAATTATATCATTATCAAACTTTAAATTTAGTTGAAAATATCAACTTAATTTAATTAAGATGTTTTATTGAATTAATAAAATAACTAATACTATATAAAAAATGTTTAGATGTATTTATGTTTATTTTCTTAAATGATTAATCAAATTAACCAAGGATGTTTTAATACTTACTCTGCATTTAATCTATGATTAGGTTTGGTTAACATTTTTGAAATTAAATCCTTACAATCATTAGAAATTCCATTGAATTCAGGAGTATCCAATTTTATATTACCAGTCTTCACTGCTGTTAAGATTTCTTATTCAGTTGTTCCGTTGAAAGGAGGACATCCTGTCAATAAAATATACAAAATCACTCCAGCTGACCAAATATCGCAAATTTCATTATAATTTTAGTCTAGAACTTCTGGGGCTATATAAAAAGCCTAATTTTAATATAAGAATAATACTGTTCCTATTTTTTTCGTTAATTGTGTTTTACCAGATAGCGTTTTGTATTGTTCATCATTAAAGAATACACTAGCATCAAAACCTATTAATTTTATTGGAGAATTAAGAGTTTTATCAAGGAATAATATGTATTCTGGTTTAAGGTCTCTGTGACATAACCCATGAGTATGACAGTGATGAATGGCTTACATAATTTATTTAAAAATTCCTCTTGATTCATTTTCTGTAAATTTATCCTAATCCCTTAATCTTTCAAATAACTCTCCTCCAGTACAAAGTCTTAAATATATTCTATATTTAAATACTCCATAATTAAAAAAATGTTCTAATCATCTTCAAAAATTTCAAATAATTTTATGATATTAGGATGATCCTTTAAAAAATAGATGGATTATTACTAAATTATGAAGAACTTTGATTGTTTTTCTCAAACAATCTTAATCAAGAACCTCATTTTTATGAATTATCTTTAAGGCTCTGTCAGATCCTAAAAATTTGTGTTTTGTAATAATCACTTTTCCCTAATACCCAGAACTTAAGTCCTCACTTAGTATTTTTATATTTACTTTCTCATTTATCTCATAAAAATCTTAAACTTTTTCTTTTTTAGAGTTTGGGAGCTCTTATTTACTAATCTATTATTTATTGCCCATTTTAATATTATTTTAAAGATTTGTTGGTAAATTTTGTTATATATATATTTCATTTATTATTTAAGTTCTAAATAAGATTCGCTGATATTTGATTATTAAATAATCACTTGTATCTATTAATCAAATCATTTTCTTCCAAAGTACATCCAAAGAATTTACCTCCCTCAGAATTAATTAAAAAATTAAATTATTTGAGTTCAGATATTACATTCACTTAATAGAATCAATTATTTCATTGTAATTTTCTAAATATCTATCTTCTTGAGATATAAGAAGCAAACTTGGCTTAACTCTGATATCTTAACTAATTGCTAGGGTTTGCCCACTAGTAGGTTTAATTCAGCAGTCACATTATGTCGAATTCTCTACACAGGGTTTGGGGTTGGGTTTGGGTTTGGGTTTGGG